GTCCAAAAGTGGACGAAAGAGGGTCAATTTAGTTGATAAAACATGTGGGTGCCTAAAGCTTCTGGGTGTTGATTCGTTGCCCACAGTGGTTCAACGGGATCAAAGCTGGTCGGGATTTACTCCTGGGATGATGGGCTACAAAATCCAAGTGGTGGCATCAGCCATCGCTTCGCCGATTCATCGAAAAAATGAAAAAGGTGGCCGAAGCGTCATTGGTTTTCATCGGTTTTTAAGGCCTTACACCACCACATATGGTGGTTAATCAAGGTCGTTCTTGGTTGGATTTTTTAGAGGGGAGTGAGAGGTTCAAGATAGTGGTGGTGGCGTCGAAAAACTCCACTGAAGTTGGCCGGAATCGGCGTCAGAAAATGGGATGTCGCGATGGTCAACTGGGTCTCGAACTGGGTTAGAGTTTCTGGGCCTTTTTGGGTCAGTTTCCTCCCATGGAAACTTCCTAATTTTCTGACCAAATTTAGAGACTTACTTCTAATAGTAAGTCCACGTGTCTAAAGTTCTCACCACTTCCGAGGCTTATAACTTCTCCGTTCTAACTCGAAATTAAGATCCGTTTAAACCTACGCACTCATAAGGTCGTCCTCTATTCAAATATTTCAAGAATTACGATAAAATACATCCTCGTATAATTACGCTAACCAAATAGGGCATTTTCGTCATTCCCCACTTAACGAAAAATTATACGACATAATTAATTCTTAATCCGGAAACATGATTTCACATTTTTCCCCATTCGAATTTCATAACCATAAATCGATCTATCTAATTTTTTTCCTCCACATAAACAATAAAATGAATATCCACATCATTTTTAAAATATTCAGGGTGTTACAACTACTAAATTATCGAGTCGACAGGGACGTGATCTTGACATGGGCTCAATGGCTTAATTCCATCATTATGTCTAATAATAGGTCTCATCAGGAAAAGGAAAGGTTTCTCTATTTCCCCGCCTTTACATGTTGGCACATATGGAAAGCTAGGTGCAATTTCATTTTTAACTAGAAGGAAATTAACCCTCTCAGATCATGTTTGCTATTTCAACTTCGGCTGGTGCCTTTTCTAAGGTGACCCATACTTCCTTGAATCATCAACCATCTGTTTCTGTGGATGCTGCTCCGGCTGCTTATTGGACCGCTCCAACTTCTCCATTTATAAAATTAATTGTTGACGCAAGTTAGAATGCTTTGAGTGGTTCGAGCTATGTTGGGATAATGGTGCTGAATGCTGATGGTAAGTTTCTAGCAGCTACTAGGTTCTCAATCAAGGCTAACCATATTGCTCAGGCCGAAGCTTTGGCCCATCTTCATGGATGTCAGCTGGGTATATCTCTGGGATTTAGATTCGTCATACTAGAATCTGATTCTCTAGAGTCCATCTCTTGCTTAGGGGAATCGTTGGAAAATGGTAGCTGGGAGGCCTACCCTACTTTGGCAAAAGTTAAATGGTTAGGGGATTTCTTTCAGGATTGTCGCTGGTTTTGGGTTCCAAGATCAGCCAATATGGTGGCGGATTGGATTGCATCGGTAAGGTTTTCAAAGATGAGCGATGTTTAATGGGTCGATAGACCACCATCTTCGTTGGTGAATGTCCTTAACAAAGACGATTTACCTTGTCTACCTTCAGTTTGATTGGGCAATGTAAGGGGCGAACTCTTTGCATATGATGCATCGTCTTTCTACCATGTTCCCCCTTATATCACTCAGATATTTTTGTTGTGCTTGTTGCTTGCCTCGGTGTAGGCTTCATGTGTACTATTGGCATCTTTGCCCTGGTAATATATTGCCCAGTTTACCAAAAAAAAAAAATGGTATGGATGTTGTATACCAAAAGCGTCACATCTGAATTTGTCTTAGAGGTCACATATCTTTTTTGTCAGTTGCTGCAAGCACCTAGGGAGCACAAGGCAAAATGTACAAGTTATGACTATACCAAATTATCGATGTCACTATTAAATTTATGTGGTTTACTAATTATCGTTTGTATTAAGTTTATGTAGTTTATTAATTGTCGTTTGTATTAAGTTTATGTAGTTTAATAATTGTCATTTGTTTCATGCGTTTTGTGTTTATACATCTCTATCATGTGTTTCATATTCTTCCACAGTGTTTCATAAGTTTCATGTGTCGATTTAGTGATTTTTTAATATTTATCGGAATTTAAATATTTTTAGGTTAAAATGTTTATAAAATTAATTTAGAATAGTCTACATAATTTTTTTTTAATTTAGCCTCAATTCATTATTTAATAATATGAGGCTAAAATTTTAGGCCATAATGGTTGGAGCAGAAAATGTGTTTCTGAGTTAAAACCTGAATTTTCAGGGCTAAAAATTTGAGGTTTTACTCCAAAGGTTGGAGATGGTCTAATACAGGTGAACAATAAATGCCCCTATTAATGTTGCTACTTTTAGGGGTGAAAAAAAACCACATCTACAAAATTTGGTTATTAATGTCAGATAAACGAGCCTCTAATATACATACATACATACATACATACATACATATATATATATATAACTTATTAATTTTTTCAATTTAATAATTTACATTACGAGCATTTATCTCCTTATATTAATTATTTTTTTACTTATTAATCAAATGAATAAGACAGTTATCAAAATCTTAATTATAGGATAACCAACATGCACATTCCCCATATTTCTCTCATGATCTTCTTTCACTGCACAAACTCCTACCTCCATTTTTCTTGTTCCTTCATATTCTTCTCCTCATCTCTATTTTGTGGGTTTAACTTTGCATCATTTTGGTAGTTGGGATGTAGAAGATTGATTAGACATTTTTTTTAGACTACCATTTGTATCTACGATTTAAACTTCTTCATGATACTTGTACCATTTGTATATAATCAATTGAAGTATCGATCATTTTAATATTAATTTTCTGTTAACAATTTATTTTTTCGTCTAGGGTGGTAGTGGTAAAAATAATCGTAAATATATTTGACCCTAAAAATATGAGAATACAATCGAATAATTAATGGGTGATTGACAATCGTACCATTCCCAAAATGCAATAATAACAAATCAAAATGTCATCAAATATATATAATAAAATAGGGGCCTTAATAATCGCCTCTAATACCATAAACGTGGCAGCAAAACTATTTGGGGTGAAAATAAATGCTTATTTGCCCTATTTATCAATAGCTATGCTTTTTTTAGGTGTAATTTTTAAATCCGCCACTACTAACTATTATGTGCGGAAATCATCAATTTTTGCCCCTATTTCTAATTAGAGGTATTCATCAATTTCCCTCCTGAATTTGTGACTATTGGCCAATTTTCCCCCTCAACTTTAATTTTGGCCAATTTCCCCCCCCCTCAACTCTCATAATTAGTCAATTTCCCCCCTCAACTCTCATAATTAGTCAATTTGCACCCTACTGTTAATTTTTTAATTTGATCATAATTAAACAAGTGTGTGTAAGAAACTAAATAAGATGTATGTTAATCATTTTCCTATGTCTTTATCCTATTACAAATAGATTAAAATTTAAAATTTTACAATTTATCATAGATAGCATTATTAGTCATAATAAATCAGTATGGAGTAATTTTATTTGATTTTTTACTATACAAAATTGATAACGAAAAGGATTGATGTGTACATTTTTGTATGTGAATACAATTTTCTTTATAAAAGTGAAAGCTAAGTTCAAGTAAATTGCGGAGAATCGAGCTTTAGTGCAAAAATGGCTAGTCAATTCATAATTTTCGACTCCTTATTAAGAATAACCCATTTTATTGAAATAGGTCTAATCCATGAGTTTAGAATTATTATTTCTTCTTCTACATGCTTTAAACCCGATTCATAACTTTTCTTATAATCAACCCATATCACATACTAATTGTATTATGTTTTTGTACATTTTATCCTATATTATGCAGGTGTGTTTATGTTAATTTTAGTACTTTGTTGGAAGTTATTAGAAAATTGAAAGAAAAAAAAAGAATAGATGGAAAATTAAAAAAAATTAACAGTAGGGTGCAAATTGACTAATTATGAGAGTTGAGGGGGAAAATTGGCCAAAATAAAGTTGAGGGGGGAAATTGACTAATTATGAGAGTTGTGGGGGAAAATTGGCCAAAATTAAAGTTGAGGGGGGAAATTGGCCAATGGTCACAAGTTCAGGGGGGAATTGATGAATACCTCTTCTAATTATTAGGTGCAAACGTATTTGCCTCTACTTGGTCATGGTAGTCTCTATTATTTTAATTCATATCTTTAAACATTTTATTTTATTTTATTTCTTTCTTTAAAAGGGGACCAGCTGGTGGTTTTGTCACGGTAGTCCACCCTTCCATAGGCCGGAAGAAGATTTACAAAGGCATTTTAGTCTCCTCCTGACAACCATGCATTGTGTGATTCATCAACGCTAACACTATGTTTGGATGAGGGAAATAAACTTGGAATATAGATAAAAGTTAGAATTTATAAATTGACATGCACAAATTCTCTTGTTTGGATTTATAAAAATAGAAGTTTAAAATTTCCACGTGGAAAAAAAACTTGGAATTTGGGGCCTCAATTCCCAAGTTTAAATTCCATGTAAATAGGTGTAATTTCCCAATTTCTATGATTAGGAGTTTAAAATTAACAAATTCCGTTTTCAGTTCCATTGTTCGTTTAGGTTAACCAAACAACAAAATTCACAAATTCTACAAAATGAATTCCTGTCATTTCAATTTAAAATGAACAAATTCCGTTTTTAGTTCCATTGTTCGTTTAAGTTAACCAAACAACAAAATTCACAAATTCTACAAAATGAATTCCTGTCATTTCAATTTCCGTCATTTTAAAATTTTTTAGTAATCTTAAATTTCTTCATCCAAACATAGTGTAAGAATCAAAACCAAAACGTGCCCAAAATTTTAGGCAGGAGTAGGTCTAACAAATAAAAGATAAAAGGGGTAAGTTTAGGCGTAGGTGTGAGAAAGACATTTGTTGAACACCTTGTAAGTGCTTAATGGGTGTTTTCCAAAAAAATAAAATAATGACTGTGTACATGGTTTTTCATTCGCTCATCGTGGTCATGATTGGTACCAAAATTTCGAAAACCTAGCTTAAGCCATAAGGTATCTCGAATATGGTGAAGCGCTCCAATGACCGCAATGAGAAGTGTTCTCGGACAAGAAGAAGGTGACTCTCTCTATCTCTCTCGCATGGGCAATTGGATATGAATTTAAACTTGCTAAAGTTTGAGATTGAAGAAAAGCATGATAATTTTGTGTTGTTTGTTCCAGACTCGGTGGGTCGAATGCTGTCGGTGATGATGATGGTGATGCTGCTCAAGGCACCTCAAAAGTTAGGAATGAGCGAGTGCAATTGGGCACCAAATTTGCTACTCTTCTTCGAGTCAAGGAGTCATCAAGGCAGCGGAAGCAGAAGCAGAAGCAGAAGCGGAGGGAAATTACTGCTCAAGGCGGCACCTCTAAAACCCAGGTCGAGGTCGAGAGGGAAATTACTACCTCCGTAGAGGTCCAAGAGTACAGGCAACAGAGGGGAATTACTGTTTCAAGCCGTGATGTTCCAAACCCCATCAGGACTTTGGGTCGCACTCCGTTTCCAGGTACCTACATTTTACTCTCTCTCTTTACTCTCTCTCTTTTCTTTTTCTTTTTTCCTTCTTGTATTATTCGTTACAATATATATACTTACATGAGATAATTACTCTTTGCCGGAAGTTAGCTACATACAGTTTTCTATTGATATGATTTTATCTTGATCGCAGAATATGTTAAGGAAGAATTTTTAAACGCTGGATTCATCAGGCCTACACCAATTCAGGCTCAGGCATGGCCAATTGCTTTGGAGGGCCGTAATATCATTGGTATTGCTCCACCAGGATCCGGGAAGAAGCTCGCGTATCTGTTGCCTGCAATTGTCCATATGAAATCCCGGCCAAAGCTATGTGAGTATGTTACATGTTAGTCATCCTTAGGATAATCAAATCCTGGCTCTTTGAATCATGTTCGTATATTGTTTATATTTATCAGGATTAAGTTTTCCGTTTTATAATTTTTCTTCAGCTTGTGGAGATGGCCCAATAGTATTGATTTTAGCTCCAACCCCCGACCGCTCTATTCAAATCCAACAAGAGTGTACTAAATTTGCTGCAGCACACATCGAAGCCTTATGCTGCGAGCAACTGATTGGTTATAAAAATTCTCGTGTGGCATGTGGTAGGTGGTGGTGGTGATGAACTACGTTTTACATTGTATTCTTATTATTGTGCTACTGGTACGCTATTTCATGTTTTGGATATTATCTACTTGATATTCTGTTATAGGCATTAGTAATGGTAACATGACCCTTAAATTGATTTTGTTTTAAGTGGTGATTTTAAGGAGGGCTTGTTGTTTGAGTATATTGTAATTCTTCTTATTGATTGCAATTAATATTTTGGCTCAGGAGTTGGAATTTTAATTGACACACCTGATGGCGTGCTTAATGCGTTAGAGTCGTGTCGTACAAACTTGCGAAAGGTCACATACCTTGTGTTGGATGGTGCTGATTGGATGCTAACAGAAGAAGACATGGAGTTTAAGTCTCAAGTTCAAGAAGTTATCTCTCAGGTTTGAGATATTACCCCTACTTGGCTCTTCATACTTGCGGTGTTGTTTTTTTAAAGGTGGAAATCTTTAGCATTTTTAAATCCCCTCACTCACACACACACACACACACACACACACACGTGTGTATGTATTTATATCTCAAAGTTTATGTTCGGTTTAAAATTGTATATTGGGTTTTCTGTATACAGATTCCCCCCGACTGTCAAAAATTGTTCTGGGGTAGTAGCTGGCCAGAGGAGGCTGATGAACTTGCCAGGCCATTCCTTCGTGACGCATGCAAAGTAATATATATCTTACTAATTTTTTTTTACCATCACCTGGTCATTTTTAATTGTTGTAACTGGATGAAATTAGTAGTCACCAAAAGTCTTCTATCTTGTGATTGCAACAGTTGGTACTTGTTTGAAATTAGCAGTCACAAAATGTCTTCTATCTTCAATGTTGGCGTATTTATTTTTTGGTGTAATACCCAATACTTGTTTGACATTTATCTTTGGATGTTGAACAGGTTGAAGTAGGTTCTCCAGTTCTGAAAGCTACACATCCAATAGACCAAATTGTTGACATCGTTGCTGAAGATCAGAAATATAACAAGTTGGGGATATTCTAATGTTTGATCTTCTGCAGTTAGTTTGAGGTTATATCTACATTTCTGATTTGGTTTCAAATTTTCAGATTGGTAGGCTTGCTAGGTGACATCGCAGATGGCAGCAGAATACTGATATTCATGGATATAAAGAAAGGATGTGAATCATGTAACCTCCTCGCTCAGAAGCTTTCCGATGAAGGTTACGCAGTCTCTGTTAATGAAAACGTATGTCAATCGGATAGGGTCCAGATTGTCTCTGGGTTTCAAGGTGGCTATATCCCCATAATGATTGCAACTGATGCTGCTGCTCGTGATCTAGGTATCAATAGAGTTTCTTTAGTTTGTGAAAGACTTTCTTTTAAGTTTTTTTGCTTGTGCTTTAAGAGTTACTTCTCTTTTTACTGTTATAATTTTATTATTACTATTATAATTATCATATAGCCGACCCCACTTAGTGGGTTAAAGCTTTGTTGTTTATATTATGATTTCATTTAGAAAGAAGTATCTTCTTCAATCTCCTCACTAGTTGAAAGCTTTATTTAATTTACTAGTCGACATCCCCCTTTCCAAAGTCTTGCCCTGTTAGTAACCTAGGGTTTGTTTGGTTACTGTGGGGGTGTTGGTTTGTCAACCTAGCAATTTTTGTTGAATGCATTTAGCCTGTGAATTGGCCCGAAGCCTTGTTTCTTATCACTTTGTTTCATGCTTAATTTGCAGTTCTGAAGAATGTGAAATATGTTATCAATTACGACTTTCCGGGATCCATTGATGATTATGTTTACCGCATTGTCCTTGCTGAGCCAAAAGGAATAGCATACACGTTCTTTACAACTGCTAATGCTAGATGCGCAAAGGAACTTACCATCTTACTCAAGGAAGCTGGACAGAAGGTTGGTCCCGAATTGGCAGCACTGGGGCGTGATGTACGATATCCAGGTGAATAACTATAAACATTGGATTAAATAATGTTGTACACACATTGTCATATACACACGTGATGCATAGATCTTCCAGGTCGTTTGTATGGAATGGTGGATGTCTTTTTTGATGAAAAGAGCACCTTGTCCTGTCCTTTCTTCTCCCTGTGTACCAGATGCTGTCATATGATTTCGTAGCGTTTAATATAAATATTCGAGCTTTGATAAGATTGCTTATCTTGCAGCCATTTGGATTTTTATTCTTTAGTATCTTAAAAAAAAAAATTGAATCATAAATCATAGAATGAATAAATTTTCAAACTTTATATTACACATCCGTTAGAACTAGTGTTTGGGCGTTTCTGTTTTTTTTTTCATGCCTAAAACTAGTTTAGCTCCCATCCTCCATATATTGACTTGACGATGTTCACTGTTTATTCTTCTGTGTGGTTTATGGTTTGGGTATGATGCGAACGTATGGTTAATCTTTGACTTCCAATTATTTATATATTTTATTTTGGGTATGAAAGTACAATTGGAATTCACTTCTTTTTTGGATTTATGATATGGCCATGAACTGATGTCTTCCAGAAAGCTTCATACCTGGAATCCCTCGCGGAGCAGCTAGCTTTCTGAGTGAGAAGGTATATACGAATGTGTGTGGGCTACTGCGCCACAGCTTTATTACCTAACTTTGCATTTGCATATTACCCATTTTTTGTGGCAAATAAAATTCAAAATTCAACCACTGGTCTAACACACGTAGTTCACTGCACATTTGCATACAGGACCAAAATTAAGGGCTGTATGTTGATAAAGTTGTTCCACTTGTATTTATTTAAACAGGTTACAGGTGTTGTTTACTTTCCAATATATCCGCATTGTCCCGAGGCTAAAACTGCTGCCAGTTTCGCTGTGGACAAAGTCAATGAAAAAAAGGTTAAAACTGGAATTTGAAAAAGCTGATGGTCTACTTCTTACGTTAGCATGTTCTGTTTTACGAGTAATCTTTAATGGCGTACCTGTTTAAATATGATGTTCTGCATGGCTTCTTTTTCAGAAACTTCAACTGCATTTTGTGAGAGTGGTGGAGGCATACGAATGCTTGTCCGGCATTCCTGTTAGAGTAACTTATGTAACTCTTGAGGCTGCTGATGGCACGGCTTGTGAAATGAATGCTTATGGAGCAATAGTTGCAAGGTGGGGGATTACTGGCAAAGTGAAAACCATATATTTTGGCAGAGTTAAACCCAGTGGTCGTATGTCAGCACTATTCGACATCAGAAAGAAATTGGATAACAGAGGTAACCATCTGTCTGAAGCACTCAAAAACACATATGGCTGTCCGAACCTTGGAATTCCGTGATGGATGGGGTTCTTAACTATCATGCATTTCACTTGTCACAGTCTATAAGATCTGGCCAGAAAGCAGCAGAAAGTTGAGGGAGTACCCTAGTATCGCTGACAATGAGAGGTAAATTTGATGTTTTATTATGTTTGCGATTTTATTTCTGAAACTTAATTTGTAATTTCGATACCCTAAACTTGAGTGCATTGATACATATATATCATAACTTTAATTGGTTACAGGCAAAGAGAAAGAAAAGGAGCCCTCGGCGTGGCTACTGCTTAGGGCATACTCAGAATGGATGTGGAGTATATTTTGAACAATATGGTTGTGTTTGGAAACGGGACCGCGCATGAGATTTACTTGGTTTTGGGGGGGCACATCCTCTGTAATCTGTTGGTGAGAGTCACACTTATTTTGTCAAGTTTACGTGCGGAACCTTTCGTTATAAATTTGCAGAAATCAGTCAGGAAATTTCCATCTCAATTGGAGGCTTAATTACCCTTAGAGAAATCGACGAAGATGAACACGCGATTGACAAGCAATAATTTCGCACAATCTTTTGGATGCCTGGTTGACACACACAACACTAGTCATACGATCTCTTACACGAAACTGATGAGGTTTCTACCTCTACCACTTTAATGGTTTTGAGTCCTTGATGATAAAATATCACGACGATGGTTTCAGTACTGGGATTGAGATTTCAACGGTACCTTCAAGGATGTGTGTGACATCCTTCATGGTAGGTCGTAGCGACGGATCCTGTTGAATGCACCACAACGCGATGGTCACATACTTCGCCATCTCTTTGATGTTATCCTTCGCCTCCTCGTCATTCTCCAACAGCAGATGGAGTTTCCTTTGGTCATAACAATTAAACGCCCAGTCAGCTAGTACCATTTCCTTTTCATCCTTTGCCTCCTCAAAATTCTTCCTGCAGCAAATTATCTCTAATAACAAAATCCCAAAGCTGTAAACATCTACTTTGACGGTGACAGGCAAGCTTGTCAACCATTCAGGGGCAACATAGCCTTTCGTTCCCCTGATTGCAGTGATAGTTTGAGTTTGGTCGGCTTTCAAGAGTTTGGCTAATCCTAAATCAGCGATTCTCGCCGTGAAAGAGTCATCCAGAAGAATGTTTTCAGGCTTAATGTCACAATGTATGATTTGGCTGCTGCAGTCCTCATGCAAATACAAGAGCCCCCTTGCAATTCCCAAGGCAATTTTCCTTCTGAGGTACCAGTGTAACCTTGAGCGCTCTCCAAAGAGAAAGCTGTTCAGAGAGCCATTGCTCATAAATTCGTAAACAAGAATCCGGTGGTGCCCCTCATCACAAAAACCTAGTAGCTGAACTAGATTTCTGTGATTTGTTCTACCAATTCCACTCACTTCAGCTTTGAATTCTGGATGATCACCTTCTCTAAACATGGTGTCCAATCTTTTGACAGCAACAAATTTGCCATTATCCGACGCAAAAAGTCCTTTGAATACTGTTCCAAAAGCACCGCGACCCAGTTCTTCCATGAATCCGTTGGTAGCTTCTTTTAGCTCCATGTAAGTGAAACATCTTAGATTGATGCCTTGAATGAACGGGGAAAGTTGACTTACCTTTGGTTTTATGAAATAGTTGCGACAAACAACAAAAAAGGTTACTGCCAACATAAGGAACACGACCAGCATGCCAATCACCATGAACACTAATCCATGGACGCGGAAGCTGAAGAACTTTTCTTTGTTGAATCCTGCCCCGCTTGTCTTGAAGTAGAATTGTCTATCCTTATTTTGATCAGAGCCTTCCAATCGACGCTAGGGTCAATCCTCCCGTTTGAGAGAGGGATACTCTTTTTCCAACAGGTCTTGTTCTTGTAAAAGGCAATGCCACAAAAACAATCACCTAAGCAAGTCTGGCGACACCAATCCTCCGTTACTGGCTGAAAATACTCATAGTTAGCAGAGTAAGCCCAATCTTTGTTCAGCATCTCTTGAAGGTAAAAAAGATCTGTTTCTAGTGCGGCATCATCACAACGTTGGGAAGTGAAGTTCTGCTTGCATCCTTTCAGCACATCATTTGGATCAACGTAGGTGTAACCATACGGGCAGTGGCAACTTGGTCCTCCATCATCATTTCTGCATAAGCTGTTGAACCCGCATGCACCACCGCCCGTGCCTTCCAAAATCACTGTGCAAATGTTCAGAGGTGTGAGGGACAAAGCAGACCAAGCCCTTTTGACACTTGAGCTAGTACTGCTTTTCGGGTAGATGTAGTGCCGGAAAACTCCATCATACTCAAGGGTGGCTCTCTGGTAGTAATCTTGTATTGAAACTGTACTTGGTGATATCATATAAAGCATGCTTCCATCCCTGGCTGTAACGAAAATAAAACCGGACAGGTTGAAGATTACCTGAAAGCCACTACCCTGAGTTAGCGTCGACCAGTAAGCAGAATTAGGAGTATCCAAGGGAAAATACGTTGTGTAAAGCACAGCGTTTCCGTCAGTCTGTAGTGTAAATTGGAATCTTCCCTTTGAGTAATTCGTCTGCGTATAAGGAGCAAAGAGTATGCTGCCTTGATGTAGAGTCTGAGCAGGTAGGATTGTATCAGTTGGATGATCGAAACTCTCCCACGAATCGATCGAATTTCCATTAGCCAGCACAAAATTTCCATTGTCCAGCATGGCTGCATGGCTAACTCCAGTTCCAGAAGAAGAAGCAATCCATACTTGTCTGCGAGTTGCAATATCACTAAGCATAAACTGACCATCTTCGGTGAGTTGAACCGCGGATCCTTTTGCCACTAGATTATTTCCATTGGCTGACCAGACAATAGTTTTTTCAGGTATCTTGTCAAACCAGATGGCCAGTAGAAAGCCACCATTATCTCCAATTTTTCGGAAACCGAAGGCAAAGTCTCCAGATGGCGATGCCCAGAACGAGTTACTGTCCTGTGCAATGAGGGATGAACCCAAAGTTATATTCATGGGAGGTTGAGCAAAGGTATAAAATGGCAGCTGTAGAAGGAGAAGTAGAAAGCAAAAACTATATGCTAGTTCAAATGCCATGGTAACGATAAATTTTCACTTTGGCTTAAGAGCCTTAGACATGAACATATATATATATATGTTTGTGTGTATAATTTTCCTCACCTCACATTCATGCCGTTGTTATATCTTTCTTTTTTTCCCAGTTTTTGTCAGTCACCAAGAATCCATTAAAAAAAGTAGTCTACGAATTCTGTCTCCTTTTGTGTCTTCTTCTCACGTCTAATAATTTTTATATCTATTTTTTTAGTACTAATCAAAAGTAGTGCTTGACTGCAACGAACTAATTAAGTATAAATCATTTGCAGTAGGACTAGTGCTTAACTGAAAGACGAATTTAAGCAATTTGTATTTCTGCTTTTGTTTGCCGTCCTAGCAATAAAAACGCCTCTCGCAGTCACCGAGTCACAGCCACATAATGCTGCAAAAGTGGTCAAACAATTGTTGTCTTCTTCCCTTATGATTTATGAAGGCAGCCGGACACATTACTAATTATGTGAGATAGCAAATTATATATATATATATATATATATATATATATATATATATATATATATATATATATATATATATATATATATATATATATATATTTCTAATCTTTGTGCCAGTTGGATTAGAATATGATTAAAGGAAATGAGGTTGCAGAAGAAGATTAAAGATGCAATACCTTTCAGTTTCGGATGAGGACCCAATGATGGAAACCTGCTGTACTCTTGTAGTGCAATGCTGGTGCATTGCAGGTTCTATCTAATATTCCATTCCATGGCGGGAGACTCAGTTTTCATATGAGCCTTTAACCTTCAATCCTATACAACGGCACCCAATTTACAGAACTAGGGGACTAGCTCTTAGGGGACTTGGTGGGTATAGGCCTAGTGCATAAGGCCTAGGCGGTTTTTTAAATAAGTCTCTACTTAAAATTGCAAAAAATATGCAAAATTAGAATGATATATAAATTATAAAGTACTATAATAGATTGAAAACATAGGGAACAATCATGTGTAAGTGTTGATCCAAATGTCCAGCAAGTATAGTACAATTTATTGAAAACATAAAATGCAAAACGAAGGTTATCTATTTTGTGTTTAAAGGAGAGTCGCCACACCAAACCATTTTCATAAATAAAAGAGCAAGTAAAAAAGTCACAAAACCACCTAAGCCCCTAGACCCACCTAGGTCCACCATGCCCGCTTATGCCCACCAAGGCTCTATAAGGGTTTAGGTGGCTAGGCAAGGGCCTAGGCAAGTCTAGACGAACTTTCTAATTTTTTAAATGCATAGAGACTAATTAGGGCAATGACTAGCAACCTAGCACCTACACGGTCCTAAGCAAAGACCTTTAGAACACTCAGTATGGTCACATATTTGTGATGATACCGAAATAACGGTGGAGGTGAAGCTTTTGTTACCATGCTGCTTATAACACTAGAACTCGGCTTACAAGGTATCTCGAAAGCAGCTTTAAAGAATGCTCCCTCTAGAAATCCCAGTTTTGTAACATCCCACATCGCCTAGGGGAGTGATCCTTATATGTATATTCTCATCTCTACCTAGCACGAGGCCTTTTGGGAGCTCACTGGCTTCAGATTCCGTAGGAACTTCGAAGTTAAGCGAGTAGCGCGCGAGAGCAATCCCATGATGGGTGACCTATTGGGAAGTTCTCATGTGAGTTCCTAGAAACAAAACCGTGAGGGCGTAGTCGGGGCCCAAAGCGAACAATATCGTGCTATGGTGGTGGAGTGGGTCTGGGGTGTGGTGGATCCGGGCCGGGATGTGACAAATGGTATCAGAGCCAATCCCTGGCCGGAAGTGTGCCGATGAGGACGTCGGGCCCCTAAGGGGGGTGAATTGTAACATCCCACATCGCCTAGGGAAGTGATCCTTATATGTATATTCTCATTCCTACCTAGCACGAGGCTTTTTGGGAGTTCACTGGCTTCGGGTTCCGTAGGAACTTCGAAGTTAAGCGAGTAGCGCGCGAGAGCAATCCCATGATGGGTGACCCACTGGGAAGTTCTCGTGTGAGTTCCTAGAAACAAAACTGTGAGGGCGTAGTTGGGGCCCAAAGCGGACAATATCGTGCCATGATGATGGAGCGGGTCTGGGATGTGGTGGACCCCGGGCCGGGATGTGACAAGTTTAATTGGCAGCAGATAAAAGGTCACTTTCGTGCAACCATTTTGTTTTTCACTCAAGTAATGCCGATTCATTTTCAGTTAATTCGTTTGTAGAGAAGTAAATTGCTAAATTTATTACTTCAATAGTTCGGTGTTCTCAAATATCCAGAACATCATGTGCTAAGATTTTTCTGATTATGTTGTTGTCCACTGCGAATGTTTCATCACTCTTTGGCAGTTCTCTGAAAAAGAATTTTGAACGGCTAAAGGATGGCACTCACTATAAGGTCAGTTTAGTTCATTTGGCTTAAGAGGCCTTCGTTCTTGTTTTTCATTTCATGCATGCTTTATCCGGTGTCTTAAAAAACTAGTTTTAAGACTCGCTTAGGCGGTTTTTGGGGGCAACAATGATTATTGTGATCAACTAAACTGAACATACAATGACAATAGATTTGGTGGAACTGAAACATCAACAGTTCCTTCAAGCATCTGCCTGACATTCTTCATGGTCGGTCGCACTAATTGATCCCCTTGAATGCACCAAAATGCGATCAACCGTTAATGTGGGGTTTACTCTCAACATGGTGAACTTATAAAGAGCTACCAATTTCCCTCATTAACTATAATTTTAGTCAATTACACCCTAAACCTTTATAATTGACTAATTTTCTCCCTGAATTAATACCTCTTAACTTATTCCCTCAAGCAAACATGTTGTCATCACCACTAACCACTGCAATTCCTGTATCACGCAAGTTAGATCTCATTTTTGCAATCTATAAATTTTCTGTTGAACAACTTAAATGTTAATACACTAGCTACTTCAGACACTATTATATACATATTTTGTGCTTACCATACATATATGCATGCATGGATATATACAGATTCAAAAAAAAAATATTAAAAATTCTATAACAATTTCTTAGTAGTAAATATATCCATAAATAATAAAGAAAACAGAGGAAAATCCCTTTAATTTGTTGTTATAACTATAAGATGACGCAGTGGCGAAGCCACATGAGGGCGAGGAGTGGCGGCCGCCACTCCCCTCGCCGGGAAACACCACTGGACCCAGCTCTTCGCCACTCCCCTCGCGCGCGCCTCGCCGGAAATTGCTGGTTCAAGTCCTCTGTTTTTCTGGGCAATCTGCAATCTGCAGATTGCAGTTTATTTTTTTTTTTTTAAACCAGGCCAAAACGACGTCGTTTTGGGCCTGGTTAAAAAAATTTAAAAATTGTTATACAAAACGGCGCCGTTTTGTATGTTTGAATTAAAAAAAAAAATACAAATGGGGACCGCTTCCGCGTGTCGCCCAAAACCCTCGTCAGTCCCAACCCGTTATGTTCCCTTTGCTTTTGTTCCTTCTGCCGTTCTTCACCAATCAACACAGGACAGGAGCTTTAATTTCTGCTCCCCAACATCCCAGTGCCAACGTCCCTTTACAAGCTAACAAGCCACCAATCAACACAGGCCTTCCACCAATCACCATCTAAAGGTAAAATTTTTAATTCTTAAATGTATAATCCCTAACCTAATTAATTATTCAATACAAATTTCCTTGAATTGGTATGAAATTATATGCTAATGCATTAATATGGTTATTGGTTATTGGTTATTGATTATTGATGTGAATCATATGCTTTTATGATTATTGATAAGAAATTATGAAATTATCAAGGCGTAAAGCTCCAAAAATCACAAACTTCCATTACTATCGTGTGGACCTCTATTTTCAAGTCCTTGATATGCAGCTAAAGGAGTTGAATGATCGCTTCAATGAGGTAAACACCGAGTTACTTCTTTGTATGGCATGTTTGAGTCCGGTGAATAATTTTGCATCTTTTGACAAAGCAAAAATTGTTCGTTTAGCCCAACTTTATCCTCAAGATTTTGATCGTATGGACCTTATGAATCTTCCAATTCAACTTGATAATTACATTCATGATATGAAGATGCATAGTGAGTTTTCATCATTGAGAGGAATTAGTGATCTTGCAAAAGAGTTAGTGAAGACCGGAAGGTGTGAAAGCTATATGTTAGTGTATAAACTTCTTACATTGGCTTTGGTGTTACCGGTTGCAACCGCTTCGGTGGAGAGAGCTTTTTCTGCCATGAAGATTGTGAAAACACCATTGCGTAACAAAATGGGAGATCAATGGTTGAGTGATAGCATGCTTGTTTACATTGAGAAAGATGTATTTGCTTTTATTGATAATGAGCCTATTATGCGACGTTTTCATGACATGAAACCTCGCCGGCAACGATTGTAATTTGTTTGTATTAATTAATTATGGAAGACATTACTATATAAAAATATTTAGTTGTTGCCATTTTTCTTTAACCTTGCATTCTTTTAAGTTCGCCCCTCCCCCCCGAGAAATCCTGGCTTCGCCACTGAGATGACGTTTAACCCTTGAAGGCGGTGTCCTAAAACATTGGTGGCATTTGTTTACAACTAGGTCTGCATGCATGTTTTTGTTTATGGCAGAAAAAAGCAATGGTGTTTATAGAGCAGAAATGAAGATTTCTAAATTTTTATGGAGACACTTCAGGAATCAATTACGATCACAATCCCTTACATTGAACGTATAATGATGATGGATTCGGTGGGTTTGAGAGTTCAACAGTTCCTTCGAGCATCATCTCCTCGATGTCATCCTTTGCCTCATCGTCGTCGTTTCTGAATAGCCGGTGCAGTTTGTTTTGCTCATAGCAATGATATGCCCAGTCAGCCAGTATCATTTGATCTTCATCCTCCATCTTCGCTTCATAATTCTTCCTGCAGCAAACAATCTCTAATAGCAAAATGCCGAAGCTGTAAACATCTGCCTTTAATGTGACAGGCAAGCTTTTGAACCATTCAGGGGCCACATAACCTCTTGTCCCCCTGAATCTAGTCGTTGTTCGAGTCTGCTCTATTTTCAAAAGCTTAGCCACTCCAAAGTCAGCAATTCTTGCGTTGAAAGAGTCGTCTAGAAGAATGTTTTGAGGCTTGATGTCACAATGTAGGATTTGGATACTACACTCCTCATGCAAATACAAGATCCCTCTTGCAGTTCCCAAGGCAATTTTTCTTCTTTGATACCAGCTTGGCCTTGACTCTCCAAAGAGAAAGCTTGCTAGAGAGCCGTTGCTCATAAATTCATATACAAGAATTCTGTGCTGCCCTTCGTTGCAAAATCCTAGTAGCTGGACTAAGTTCTTGTGATTTGTTCTGCCAATTGCGCTCACTTCAGCTTTGAATTCCAAATCGTTCTCTCTGACCATAGTGTCCAATCTTTTGACAGCAACATGCTTCCCATCTTCGGATGCTAAAACTCCTTTGAAAACCGTTGCAAAAGCCCCACGTCCTAGTTCTTGCTTGAATCCGTTGGTAGCTCCTTTCAGCTCCATGTACGTGAAACTTTTCAGATTATTGCCTTGAACACCCGGGTAAAGCATACTCAACTTTGCTTTTCTGTGATGGATAATGTGGAAAAAAAGTAAACAGGTTATGATTAGTAGGAGCAAGTTCAGAAATGCGGAGCTACAGAGGAGACCTAGCCGAGCGAGGTTGGGAATTGAATTGGAATGCTTTCTTGAATTGTTAGAATCGATCCTTATTTTGATTAGAGCTTTTTTATCAACAGTGGGATCAATCCTTCCGTTCATAAGAGGAATTCCCTTCTTCCAACAGTCATCATTTTTGAAAATGACAACGGAACAGAAGCAGTCACTTAGGCAACTCTGCTTGCACCAATCCTCACTTACTGGCTGAAAATGCTGATAATCCGAAAGAGGCCAGTCTCTGTTTTCAAGTTCTTGAAAGTCGAAAAGATGTGTTTCTGGAAAGGCTTGATCACAACTCTGAGAAACGAAGTTCTGCTTGCATCCTTTCAGCACATCATTTTTATCAATAAAGCTGTATCCATCTGGGCACTCGCAAACCGGTCCTTCAGTATCATCTCTGTTGTGTTTGGCTCATACATTTGTGAGTAATTATGAGTCATGTGTTAACAACAATGAAGTGACCTGTGTTTGCTTTCGGTGGAAATATCACATGGTTTGGGTTGCATGAAAATTGCAGACAAAGTAAAAGCAAAAGTTTGGTGGACATCATCATGAGTAAAAACATAATGATGATGCTTGCTTTTACTTTAATGATGATGTTTGTGGAAAAAGGGAAAGTTGATTCCTTTTTCTTTTGCTATTTATTTTGCTAAGAACCGAAGGGAGAGAATGAGAGATTTGGCTCTCTCTTGAGAAGACATCAGAGAGCATCCAAAGGGTGAGAGCATTCGGCTCTCCCATGGGAAAGCATGGGCACGGGTGAGAGAAAATCAAGAGAGCTAGAGTGAAAAGTATTCTAGTGAAAGAACTTTTGGGGTAGAGTGAGGCTCTTGGGAAAATTCTATGAGTGGGTGTGCAAGGGATTTGGGATTAGGTTATGTTGATTTAACTCATGTGTACTTGTACTGTTATTCTCATAGTGAAGAGCAATATCTCTCCGGGGACGTAGGCAGGTTTTTGCCGAACCTCGTAAATTTCTCGGTGTCTTTATTTCTTGTATTTTATTCTATTCAACTGAGTGTGATTTTGGTGAGGTTGTAATCTGAATCTCATTTCCGCACTGACAAACGGGCCAAGGCACAACAATCTCTACATAAGCTATTGAACCCACATGCACCGCCACCTGTGCCTTCTAAGATTGAGGTACATAAATTTGAAGGTATGAAGGAGGAAGACGACCAACCCTGGCGCCTCGTTCCGGCCACACTACCCGAGCCAGTTTTTTTAGGATAGACATAGTGCCTGAAAACTCCATTGTACTCGAGCGTTGCTCGGTGGTAGAAATCTTGCGTTGAAGAAGTATTGTCCGATAGCATATAAAGTACGCTACCGTTTGTGCCCGTAAGGTAAATAGAGCCAGACTGGCTGAAGATGACCTGAAAACCGCTCCCCTCAGTGTGTGTTGACCAATAATCATGATTACGGGAATCCAATGGGTAATTTGTTGTATAAAGCAACAGTTCTCCATCAGATTTTAGCGCAAACTGGAATCTCCCTGGCGTGTAATTTGATGCCGTGTAGCTAGCATAGAGTTTGCTGTTCCGATTTAAAATCTGCGTTGGTAGCAGTGTATTAGTTGGTTCCTCAAAACTCTCCCACAAATATTTTGAACTTTTGTTGGCCAACACAAAATTGCCGGTGTCTAGCATGGCTGCATAGGCAACTCCAGTAATACCCAAAGATCCAGCAAAAGATATTTGCTTTCCAGTTTTATCCTCGAGCATAAATTGGCCATCATTTGTGAGTTCAACCTGAGATCCTTGTGGCACAAGACTACCCCTATTGGCTGACCAGACTATTGTTCTTTCTTGTATTTTATTGAACCAGATAGCTAGTAGGAACCCATCTACTCCCAGTTGCAGAAAACCGAAAGCAAATTCACCAGATGGTGATAGCCAGGATGATGAGTTATCATCTAGTGCAGTGAGGGATGAGCCCAAGGATATATTGTTGTAAGTTTGGGCTGGAGTGGAAAATGGTAGTATCACTAGAAGGAGAAGTAGAAAGAAAAAACTATATGGCAGTTCAAAATCCATAGTACATAATGAAGGAGTTAATGGTGAAGCTTCTGCTGAGAACCATTTACACAATGTTCATAAATACACCATCATTTCCGGAAATCGTCATCTACAATACCTGAAGATCATCGACAGCCCCAACACTAGGTTTAATTGAATTTGCGATAATGCCAAACCATGCCTGTGCTCTGGTTGGCTGCACACACTAGTTTGCGATAATGCCAAACAATGCAGTCCTTTCCTTGGTATACACATCAAAATACTAGGACAAATAGAAAACTCAAATGTTCCCTAACTGTTGTGCTAGGATTGCACCAAACCCGTTGGAACCAACTCAAGCTAACCCACAGGAAATTTATCAAATGAAAATGCAAGAACAAAATATAAAAGAACACCAAGATTTTAACGAGGTTCCTCAACAGTCAGTGTAACTGGAGTACGTCATCGGAGCAGTAGGAGCTCACCCAATAATCCACTATCAACCAAATGGGAGTTTACAAAGTGTTGGCAATCTCACAACCCAAATAACCCAATACACCCAATAGCTCTCACACACCACATAAACAAATAGAGAAAGAAATATAATGAATAATTTCTTCTCTATACATATAGCTCAAAGTTATTACAACAACAACTACTTTAGTGGATGATTACTAACCAAATGAAGCAGCAGCTTCTTCTTCCTGTTTAGGCTCTCTGCAACTCTCCCTGCTCTCGGCAGCTCACTCTTCTCTCTTCAGCTCTCTACTCAAAAATAAGTTTTTTTTTCTCTCTTCTCTTCTACCCGAAACAACAACAATAATTATGGTTAATAAAAAAACCATAAAAGAAAAAAAAACATCATCATGATGTCTCCTGGTCATGATGTTTCCTCATCATTTTGTCTTTCACCTTTTTTTTTCTTTTGGTTTGTTTATTAGCCGAAAGGTGATGGCTTGTTTTGGCCATAATTCAACAATCTCCACCTTGGCCAAATTCCAAAAAACACCATGATAAGCCAATCAACACAAAAAAATCACTCCCAAACACTAGCAAGAGAACAACTCATGCCGAGCTAAATGCTCCAAAACTCCTACTGCTCAACGCCTTCTTTATATAGGCAAAATGTGAGCCAAGTTCAAGCAATGAACAAACTTGGCTACACCAACCACCTTAGTCAACATATCAGCGGGGTTGTCTTTAGTTGGAATCTTCTGGAGAATGATTTCTCCTTCACCAACGACTTCACGCACAAAGTGATAACGCACATCTATGTGCTTGGTCCTCGCATGATGAACCTGATACTTAGCCAAATAAATGGCACTCTGACTATCACAATGTACCTCCACCCGCTTCTGATCAACCCCCAAATCTCTAATCAGCCCATGTATCCAAATGACCTCATTTATAGCTTCAACAACTGCCATATATTCAGCCTTTGTAGTAGACAAGGCAACAGACGACTGCAAAATGGACCTCCAACAAACTGGTCATTTAGCCATAGTAAACACATAGCCTGTAGTAGACTTCCTTCCATCCAGATCACCTGCATAATCTGAATCAACATAACCAACTGCAAAATGACCAATACCAGAGTCATCAATCTCAAAGCATAAACCAACATCTCGAGTACCATGAAGATATCTCAATATCCACTTAGTTGCTTGTCAAGGCTCTTTATCTGGATTATGCATATATCGACTCACCATGCCAACTGCATGAGCAATATCCGATCTAGAGATCATTGCATACATCAAACTACCAACCATGACACGCCCCGACCCTGATATTCCCTGAATACCAGGACCGACACGTGCTGGCCGACACCCGGGGGTGACGAAAGCCATTAATTGATACAAAAGCTAAGAATAAGAAATAAATAAGGGTTAGAAATTTGAAATACAATGAGTTAAAAGTTTTAGGAACATGCTCAGAGCATACAACTAAACCTAATCACTAAAAAGAATTAAGATAAAATTTAATGAATAAAGAAGTGGGTCCTACATCGAGAGGATCCGAAGATGCTGCTGCAGAAGTGTCTTCACGCCGGGATTGGGTGCCTTGATTCTAAGTCCTGAATGGGGGCGCAAAACAAAGGTGAGTGGACCAAGTTCATATATATAATAATAATAAAATAGTTATCAACATACTAACCCCCAAAGTTTAATAGTGAAAACTACTAGCATAGTAAGTGATGGATTTAAATCAAAATCCTAGCATGCCCAAAATATCTCAAAAGTCACGTCGCGGAAACACATCGCGGAAATCAAAACAGTAAGCGTATCATAAATCGTCTCGTATAACACGGTGTGCTGCTAGAGAGATCACTGAATAAATATACTCCCGGCCCAATGCATGCACCTCAGTCTCTGTGCCCATAGCCAGAGATAACTCCCTCCCGGCCCACTGCCTGTCTCCGTGTCCCTCAACCTTTCGCTAGGGATTATTTCTCCCAGCCTACATGCCAACACCAGATCCTCGCCCCAGGCGGCATAGTGTCTACTAGGTACGCACAAATATTTACGCCTCTCATAAATAACCACTTCATAGCATAGGTTACCGATCATCGTCTACACTATAAAGAGGGGTTTCTAAAATATGTTCTAGCATCCTATCGTCATCCATCGGATAGTCTACCAGTTCATGGTTTTTATAGAAAATACGATATATATTAAAATATAGCTCAATATATATTAACAATTATTTCCACACCAAAACACGAGACGAAATCAATAAATTCAGTAAACAGGATTGATATAAATCAATTCACAAAATTCTTAGGCATGCTAATCATTTATGCAATTATTATAAAATCATGTAATTTAGAAGGGGTCCACTCACAAATATTCCTTAGCAGAAGAATCGCGCGAATCAGGATTACGAATTTCCTTAATAGCAACTTTACCTAAGCACAAAAATATAATTAATAAATAAAAGGATTTTCTAAAATATTGAGTTTGAATTAAATTAAAATAGGGGATTGGGATTTGGATGGGTTTAGGGTTTTGGGTTAAAAGGTTATTAGGGTGAAAGAAAGGAGTTTGGGCTTAAGCCCAAACATATATTCAACAAACACACACACACATGCACAGCATGCATGTGCATGCCTAATCACACACACACACACGCCTAAGTGCACACACAAACACACCACCAAAATATAAAGGCCTTAAGGCCTTATAAAAAAAAAGACAGGGCTTAAGCCCTTTAATTAAACCGGCCCAAGGCCTCACAAAACTAGGGCCCGAGCCCATTGGGTTTTTAAAAACTAAACTAACAAAATTAAAAGAAAAAGGGGCTGGGGATTTGGGTTTAAGACCACACGGGCCTAAGGCCCGAGGAGGAAATGGGAGAGGCCAGACGGCCTGGTGCCGAGGAAGAAGAAGGTCGGAGCTGCTACAACTCCGGTCACCTGAAAACGGGGGCTTCAAGCTCCGATCTAGGTACGAAAATGAAGAACAAAGAGAGAGGAAGAGATTTCTACCTTCCAAACACCGTAACTCGGTCGGAGGTGACCGGAAAAGCCCTCGGAGTGCACGGGTTCGCCGGAAAAATGGGTGTGCTCACCCAAAACGTTTCCAAGGTAAAACCTACGTAAAAATGGAAGGTTCACGCTTATAAATCACGACCAAACATTTAGCTAGGTACGAGAGTGAGAGATTCGAGACTTACCCCTGCTGAAAAAGGAAGAAAACTCGTCGGAGCTTTGCTCCGTGCCGTTTACCTCGCAGGGCAGGGGTCCCTGCTTCGTGGGGAGTCCCTCCTGATGGTGCTAAGGTCTTCGAGAATCCAAGGGGAGAGAGAGAGAGACGAGAGCTTGAGGGAGAGAGGGAGAGAGAGATGCACGGGAGGGTTGAGACGAAGAAAGAGGGAAATAGGGAAAGGAGAGGGTCACGGGGGATACAAAAATAAAAGGGTGGGCCCCTTGGCTCACCAATTAAGAACTAAAAACTATTTTTAAATAAAATGGGGGTGGGATTTAACAAACCAAATTTGCATATGGTATATTTTTCATGTGCAGCTTCTCTTTATCAGTTTTAGGACACTGTAGAGAACTCAATTTAAAATGAGGAGCCAAAGGGGTACTAACCGGTTTGGTTGAATCATGAACTCCAAACTTCCGAATCAACTTCTCAAGGTATTGTCTTTGATTCAAACTGACCAAACCCTTCGCTCTATCTCTAGTAATCTCCATGCCAAGGATCTTCTTCGCTTCACCAAGATCCTTCATCTCAAACTCATTCTTCATTTGTTTTTTCAATTTCTCAATCTCTTCAACATTCTTTGAGGCAATCAACATATCATCAACATATATCAATAAATAAATGAAAGACCCATTTTGCAACTTCTTGAAGTACACACAATGATCATATTGACTTCTAGAATAATTTTGGCCTCTCATAAATTTATCAAACCTCAAATACCATTGCCTTGGAGATTGCTTCAAGCCATAAAATGATTTCTTCAATTTGCAAAACAAATTTTCCTTCCCTTTCACTATATACCCATCCGGTTGACACATATAGATCTCTTCATTCAAATCACCATGTAGGAAAGCCGTCTTCACATCGAGTTGCACAAGCTCAAGATCATATTGTGCAACAAGAGCTAACATAATACGAATTGAGGAGTGCTTCACAACCGGAGAAAATATTTCATTGTCGTCAATGCCCTCATTTTGTGCATACCCTTTAGCAACTAATCTTGCTTTAAATCTCACATTGGTTTTCTCATCAGCATCTTCCTTCTTGGCATACACCCATTTGCAACCGATAGCTTTCTTGCCCTTAGGCAATTTAGCTAACTCCCAAGTCTTGTTCTTCAAGAGAGAATTCATCTCATCACCCATGGCATTGCACCACCTCTCCTTCTCCTCACTCTCAATAGCTTCCTCAAAATTGGATGGAATCTCTTCAGTGATAATAGGAAGAGCAAAAGCAACATAGTCACTATACCGAGCTGGCTTGGTAATTTGTCTCTTTCCTCTGTTCTTGGCAATAGACTATTGAGGTGAAACTTCCTCTTCAACTTGAATAGAATCTTCAAGTTCAACTTCTTCAACATCCTCATGGTCTCCAACTTCTTCACTTGTAGTGGCATCGACATCAGCGGAAATAGGATTTGAAGTACCAGAGGCAACTTTCTCAAGCTCCACATGTTGGACATCTTTCACATTCTTCTCAGAGTCCTTGAACATACTTTCTTCATCAAATGCCACATCTCTACTGATTACAAGTTTCTTCATCTCTGGGCACCACAACCTGTAACCTTTGACACCACTACTAAAACCAATAAAGATAGCCTTTTTGGCTCTAGGATCAAGTTTATTTTCAGTCACATGAAAATAAGCAGGTGAACCAAAATTATGGATATAGTCATAATCAAAAGAAGGTTTTCCAGTCCATACCTCCATTGGTGTCTTACCCTGAACAGCAGCTGAGGGTAACCAGTTGATGATGTGACATGCATAATTAACTGCCTCTGCCCAAAATAACTTGCTTAAACTCGACTGAGACAGCATACATCTAACCTTCTCAAGCAAGGTTCTATTCAATCTTTCTGCAACTCCATTTTGTTGTGGAGTTCCCCGAACACTGAAATGTCTCACAATTCCTTCCTCTTTGCAAACTTTAAAGAAAGGATCGGATGTGTATTCACCACTATTATCCGATCTCAAAATCTTAATCTTTCTCCCAGTCTGGTTCTCAACCATTTTCTTCCAACCCAAGAAAATGCTTAACACCTCACTCGTGTGCTTCATAGTGTAGACCCAAGACCTTCTTGAATAATCATTAACAAAGGTCACGAACCAATGTCTACCACTCAAAGAGGGAGTTTTTGTAGGACCCCAAACATCCGAATGCACATAATCAAGAATGCCCTTCGTCTGATGTACAGCAGTACCAAACTTCACTCTAGTTTGTTTCCCCAAGACACAATGCTCGCAGAAATCAAGCTTACAAGTCGTGGCACCATTTAGAAGACCTTGTTTCACAAGCCCTTGTAGAGCTTTCTCACCGGCATGGCCTAATCTCATATGCCACAATCTAGTAGTATCTGAATCAGATGTGCCCATATTTTCAGAGACTACAGATGCTTCACCTGTCACAGTGCTTCCCTGCAATAAATACAAATGACCACATCTAGGAGCTTTCATCAAAACAAGTGCACCATAAGTAACTTTCAATGTCTGTCCATCTGAATGAAACCTGAAACCCTTGGATTCCAAAGTACCCAAAGAAATAAGATTTTTCTTCAAATTCGGTACATACCGAACACCTGTCAACTCTTTAACCATGTCATCATGCAACTTCAAACAAACTGTACCAATCCCTTTTGTTGTGCAAGGATTGTCATCTCCCATGAACACAACGCCACCATCAAACTCTTTCAAGCTTGAAAACCAATCCTTGTGAGGAGTCATATGATGAGTACAACCCGTATCCAACACCCATTTAGTAGCACAATCAAATGATAAGGAAGTGGTTAAAGCAAAATCAGAAAAATCTGTTTCAACCTCAGCAACATTAGCTTCAGAACTTTCTTTGCCTTTGGTCTTCAACTTAGGACAATCTTTCTTCCAATGACCCTTATTATGACAAAAGGCACATTCATCTCTTTCCAAAGGTTTTCTACCTTTAGAGTTTCCTCTAGGTCGAGACTGTGATTTTTTCCTACTAGAAGATGATATTCTCTCCGATGATCTACCTCTAACAAATAAAGCTTCAGAGGTACTATCATGGTTTTTATCTCTATGCCTCATTTCATAATTCATTAAGGCATTTGACACATCTTCAAATTTCACAGTTTCTTTACCAAGCATAATAGTGGTAACAAAATGCTCATAAGAGTCCGGCAAGGAATTCAACAATATTAAGGCCTTATCTTCATCCTTAATATCCTCATCTAAATTTAACAAGTCGGCAATCAACTTATTAAAAGCATCAAGGTGTCTAATCATTTTTGTACCTTCTTTGTATTGGAAGCGGTAGAGTTTTTTCTTCAAGTGTAGCCGGTTCTCTGCACTCTTCGTCATATACTTGTCTTCTAATTTTTGCCACAACACACTTGCTAATGTCTCCCGCATCACAAAATACTTCTGAGTTTTTGCAAGGCACAACCGAATTGAAGGGCAAGCCCACAAATTTAATTTCTCCCATTCCGGCTTCGACATAGCTTTCGGCTTCTCTCCCAAAGCGGCAAGTAGATCTTGTTGAGCCAACACATCTTTGACCTCACATTGCCACATCCCGAAGTTGTTTGTGCCATCAAACCTTTCCACTTCGAACTTTGCATTTTGCACCGTAGTTCTTGCAAACCCGGAGCTGCTTCCAAAAGGATTCTCATCTTGCCCGTCTGACATCTTTGGCAATTAGACAGTACCCAAGAGCAACCAGTGCTCTGATACCAATTGTTGTGCTAGAATTGCACCAAACCCGTTGGAACCAACTCAAGCTAACCCACATGAAATTTATCAAATGAAAATGCAAGAACAAAATATAAAAGAACACCAAGATTTTAATGAGGTTCCTCAACAATCAGTGTAACTGGAGTACGTCCTCGGAGCAGTAAGAGCTCACCCTATAATCCACTATCAACCAAATGGGAGTTTACAAAGTGTTGGCAATCTCACAACCCAAATAACCCAATACACCCAATAGCTCTCACACACCACATAAACAAATAGAAAGAAATATAATGAATAATTTCTTCTCTATACATATAGCTCAAAGCTATTACAACAACTACTACTTTGGTGGATGATTACTAACCAAATGAAGTAGCAGCTTCTTCTTCCTGTTTGGGCTCTCTGCAACTCTCCCTGCTCTCGGCAGCTCACTCTTCTCTCTTCAGCTCTCTACTCAAAAATAAGTTTTTTTTTCTCTCTTCTCTTCTACCCGAAACAACAACAATAATTATGGTTAATAAAAAAACCACAAAAGAAAAAAAAACATCACCATGATGTCTCCTCATCATGATGTTCCCTCATCATTTTGTCTTTCACCTTTTTTTTTTCTTTTGGTTTGTTTATTAGCCGAAAGGTGATGGCTTGTTTTGGCCATAATTCAACACTAACAAGACTAATATATAAATACTATGTACATGATATCTCTTGTTGTTTTGATGTGTAGACTGATTCTTTGTTCAGCATATTCACAATTTGTGCAAATAGATTCTTCGTTCAGCATATTGAAAAACTCGTTTATTGAATAACAATTTCATGTTTAGTTTAATGACGGTCTTAGACAATATAAACTTCTGGTGTAAGCAGATAGGCATGGAGATTCAGATTTATATTTGGATCATTCCATAAGTCTTAGTTTTCTACATTGTTTTAAAAGACATTAATTTTTCTATATCATCGATCTTTTTTTTTTTTTTTTTTTTTTGGAGAACCTCGGCGATACGAGGGAATTTTATTGATAGGAAAAAAGAAGTTACACCTAGACAGGGGGGGACATAAACCTAACCCCTCATAGAACAAGAGAAAAGAAATACAAAAGAAAAAAGGGGGGACATGCACCTTACCCCTTTTGAGAAAGGAAATGCCGGAAAAAGAGGGGGGGACATAGACCGTACCCCTCTTGGAAAAGAAAATACAAGGAAAAGACTAGGCGGACATAAGCCCAAACCCCTCTATAAACCTTAAAAGGTAATAACCTGCAAGACAAACTGCAAAACAAAAGGGAAACCAAAAAGGTTATGAAAAGAAAGGAGAAGACACATCAAGAAGAGGAGACAAACCTGTAGGTTGGCATGCCCAAGAAATCTGAGTGCAGAGGAGGGAGGATCTCAATCGGAGGAGTGGAATGCCAGACAAGTGAAGATGATAGAAGCCCTAAATTGGCTAATTTGTCAGCAACAACATTCCTTTCTCGAAAAATATGAGAGCAACGAAAAACCATGTTCTGCAAATGGAGAGTACAATTGTTCCAGCGTGTCTGGAGCGACCAAGGGGGAGAGAAAGATCCAGAAGCAAAACATGATATTACACTCGAAGAGTCGCTTTCAAGCCATAAATTTTGCCAGCCCCGCGCGTGGGCCAATTCGACAGCAAGGATGACAGCGTGGAGCTCCGCATAGAAAGAAGTACGATGGTCCAAGCTTAGGGAGAAACCACCAAGAAAATAACCCGCAGAATCTCGAAAAACCCCGCCACATGCCGCAGGACCCGGATTACCTTTAGCAAGGCCATCAGTATTCACTTTGACCCAAGAAAAAGGAGGGGGGTGCCAAAGAACAGGGACAATAGAGGGAGCTTTACAGGAGTTAGGCGATATTCCAAGAGAGACTAAAAGTTGCCTGTCCAAAATGCCTCGTACATGGCCAGGGGTGAGAGCTCCAACATGCCTAATCCAGGCCGAGGTGGAGCGGCAGAGACGTGAGAATGAGGGAGGTTTGCCTTCAAACTTCACTTTATTACGCATCTTCCAAATAGCCATGAGTAAGAAAAACCCTGAAGCTAGCCAGACATTGGGAAGATGTGGAGAAAACCGCTTTGACAAAAAATCAAGCCATAGATCAGAGAGGGAGCTCGTAGGTGGAATAATAGTGCCAAATTGGGTAGCTAGCCAACGCCAAGCACATTGTGCAAAGTCACAGCTAGAAAATAAGTGGTCAATAGATTCAGAATTCTTGTGACATAGTTGGCATATTGGAGCCAGCGGGATGCCTCGGCGCTGAAGTTGATCCTCCGTTGGGAGCTTGTTGAATAGAATCTTCCAAACTAAAATAGAGTAACGAGGTGGGATGAAAGGACGCCAGAAAATGGAAGCCCAACTCTTGACAGGAAACCGATGACGAACAATTTCATAGCCATCGGAAAACGAAAAAACACCAGATGTAGAAACTTCCCAAATTAAAACGTCCTTATCCTCATCAATTGGAAGAGGCATTTCTAAAATCTCTTTAGTTAGGTCTGGGAAAGCAAAAGAAAAAATAGAAGGAATGACCCATTGTCCCATACGAATAATATTTGAGACCTTAGTACGAGATAAAGAAGGGGCAATCTCTGTTGCACCAATGACGTCCACAATTGGCTTATCCAGCCATTTATCAACCCAAAGGGAAGTAGTAGAACCATTTCCAATCACCCAACGACAATTCTGAAACAAGATATGAAGAATGGATTTAATACCAGGCCATATAGAAGATCGCTTATAACTACAAGAGTATAGGCGACCATGTAGCTTGAAACGATTCCGAAGATAAATACTCCAAGGGGAATCAGTAGTAATAATAAGTCATCCAAGCTTTAAGAGAGTTGTAGTGTTAAGAGAGCCAAGATCACGCAAACCCAAACCACCTTCATTCTTCGGAGCACATATCTGATGCCAAGAAACGGTAACCAACTTCTTGGAGGTTACCTCACTAGACCATATAAAATTGCGAGCACATCGTGAAAGAGACCTTAGCAAGGAAGAAGGCCACTTATAAACAGAAAAGCTATGCAAGAGCATACTTTGAAAAACTGATTGAGTGAGTTGAACTCTTCCTGCCATAGATAAAAGTTTCCCCTTCCAACCAGTTAACTTAGCTTTAGCTTTATCTGCCAAGGCTTGAAGATGACTCCTTTTAGGCTTGCCACAGAAGATTGGAACTCTTAAGTAGACAAAAGGTGTTTTGCCTTCTTTGAAACCCAAGTAACTCTCAACCGCAGCTTTGCGATGCCTTGAGGTAGAGCCCAAGTAGAAAGAAATTTTTGCCTTATTGATAAATTGACCAGAGGCTCTACTATATCTATCGAAGAAACCTTGCAAATTACGCAGGGTGCCACCATCACTTCTACAGAAAATGAATAAGTCATCTGCATAGAGAACGTGAGAATGAGAGATACAACCTCTTGGAGCAAAAGTTGGCTTAGTAAGCCCATCAAGTTGAAGACGACTCAGGCCCCTTGATAAAGCCTCCTCAGCAAGACAGAAAAGTAACGGAGAGAGAGGATCCCCTTGGCGCACTCCTCGGGAACAAGAGAAAAAACCATGCGGGGAACCATTGATTAGGATGGACAATTTAGCAGATCTTAAGATGGTAGAAACCCAGTCTATAAAACAAGTGGAGAACCCAAAGTTAGTAAGCACCCGCAATAGAAATGACCAATCTAAAGTATCAAAAACCTTAGATATATCAACTTTGACTCCCATATTGCCACCACGAGTTTTTTTTTTCAAGCACATTGAAACATTCTGAAACTAGGCCAATACAATCTGTGATACGTCGGCCAGGTATGAAAGCAGCTTGATGTGGAGAAATAATGCGTTGAACAACATGAGAAAGGCGAACTGCCAAAATTTTGGGAATAATCTTAAAGAGAAAGTTTGCCAAAGCAATAGGTCTAAAATGAGTCATGGAAATAGCGTCTTCCACCTTCGGTATCAAAACTAAGAAGTTACTATTGGTATTGGGGTATAGCCAATTTGATTGAAAGAATTGCTTCACAAATTGAATAACATCAAAGCTGACAATATCCCAACAGTGATGATAGAAAAAACCTGGAAAACCATCTGGCCCTGGCGCACTGGAAGCACTTAATGAGAAAACTGCCTCCTAAATTTCCTCATCAGTAGGTAATGCAGATAAGAGATCATTTTCAGAGTCTGTGACCATCGGCTGGATGACCTCACAAACCTCATCAATACCTGAAGGGGTGAAAGAAGAGCCGAACAAAGTCTGATAGAAATTAACAATATGGTTCGCAATAGCCAGCGGGTCAGTAAGAAGATTGTTTCCATCAAGAATACAACTGATATGAGAGCTGGAAGATTTAATACGAGCATAGGCATGAAAGAAAGAAGAATTTCTATCCCCTTTAGTTAACCACTTAACACGAGCTCTATCTTTCCAAAATGTCTCCTGCATTTGAAGAGACTCCATTACTGTAGTCTTGGCGACAATCTCCTCCTCGAAAAGATCATTATTAATACCCTCAGTTGAAATTCTTTGTTGAATCATAGAAAGATTATGCCGAGCATTAGCCACTCTATTATGAACATCACCAAAAACCGAAAAATTCCATTGGCGCAAGCAGGTTTTTAGAGCTTTCAATTTTTGCAGAATGATAAACATAGGACAACCATAGACAACTGTATTTCTCCAGCAATGAGTTACAGTTTCTCGAAAAGATGGATGTTGAACCCACATTGATTGAATCGATCTTGTTTAACCGACTCATACAAGGAACTCGTTGACTATTGTCTGAGTTTTACAAGTGTGTCGCACGATGTATTTTATATGTTTAAGATGGATAAAAGAAATCAACACAGGATCTTCGAAACTTCAAATGGTTTTATGTACGGTTGAAAGCTTGAAAATTTAGCCTTAGAAAATTAGTCTAAATAACTCTATTGATTTGGATGTTGATGCAGCTTTGGCATTCAGAAGTTTTACCAAGTAATTTTAATGGCTTAAAAAACGCTTCAATACAAATATGAGTGAAGTTTGTGTGTGCGTATAAAGGCTTCGAAATCGTATGATTCAATCCGCAGCCAGATCAATTTTGCTTGGCATTAGTTGGGTACTGGTATTACTTAGCACTTCCGAAGAAAATAACCTTGACTGATTAACGATGGGTTGATATGTAATTTGATTTGTTACTTACGTGCAACATTATATATTCACATTTTCCACAAATGCAAACATTTCTACTTGTAAATTAAAACACAAATTAACTCTTGTCACTTGACGGTAAATCTTGGAACTCTCAGGCGGCTAAGCATTCCCAAATGTCGAGAACATTTTTAAACGATGCCATCTCTGGATATCTCACTTCAGTTTGTCTTCAAACAGGCCATGTCTAGCTACCTTCGATGCAAGACCTGCATTGTAAGCATTTTTTTGTTCATTACGTGCAAGCTCATCTTGGTGGTAGACAACTAGACAGTAAAGAAAATGCTGCAATACAAGGAAAATTGTTTACAGAGGAGAAAGTTTGTTACAACATATTAAATTTTTCAAAGTACAAATGAGAGGAGAAAAAAAAATATTTCTACTTTTTGTTGACACACTGAGGATGATCGGACTAACCAAATTCGTGGTTTTGAGTTCTTGATGATCAAACACATGAAATTATTCTAATGGCAATTTCTTAGTTGTAAATATATCCATAAATAATAAAGAAAAAGGAGGAAAATCCCTTTAATTTGTTGTTGTAACTATAAGATGACGTTTAACCCTTGAAGGCGGTCTCCTAAAACATTGGTGGCATTTGTTTACAACTAGGTCTGCATGCATGTTTTTGTTTATGGCAGAAATAAAAGCAATGGTGTTTATAGAGCAGAAATATTGCTCCTATATATTCACAATTTCAAAGCACAAATGGCGGGAACACTTCAGGAATCAATTACGATCACAATCCCTTACATTGAACGTATAATGATGATGGATTCGGTGGGTTTGAGAGTTCAACAGTTCCTTCGAGCATCTGTGTGACATTTCTCATGGTCGGTCTTCGTGATGCATCCTCTTGAATGCACCAAAACGCGATCATCAAATATGTTTTCATCTCCTCGATGTCATCCTTTGCCTTATCGTCGTCGTTTCTGAATAGCTGGTGCAGTTTGTTTTGCTCATAGCAATGATATGCCCAGTCAGCCAGTATCATTTGATCTTCATCCTCCATCTTCGCTTCATAATTCTTCCTGCAGCAAACAATCTCTAATAGCAAAATGCCGAAGCTGTAAACATCTGCCTTTACTGTGACAGGCAAGCTTTTGAACCATTCAGGGGCCACATAACCTCTTGTCCCCCTGAATCTAGTCGTTGTTCGAGTCTGCTCTATTTTCAAAAGCTTCGCCACTCCAAAGTCAGCAATTCTTGCGTTGAAAGAGTCGTCTAGAAGAATGTTTTGAGGCTTGATGTCACAATGTAGGATTTGGATACTACACTCCTCATGCAAATACAAGATCCCTCTTGCAGTTCCCAAGGCAATTTCTCTTCTTTGATACCAGCTTGGCCTTGACTCTCCAAAGAGAAAGCTTGCTAGAGAGCCGTTGCTCATAAATTCATATACAAGAATTCTGCGCTGCCCTTCGTTGCAAAATCCTAGTAGCTGGACTAAGTTCTTGTGATTTGTTCTGCCAATTGCGCTCACTTCAGCTTTGAATTCCAAATCGTTCTCTCTGACCATAGTGTCCAATCTTTTGACAGCAACATGCTTCCCATCTTCGGATGCTAAAACTCCTTTGAAAACCGTTGCAAAAGCCCCACGTCCTAGTTCTTGCTTGAATCCGTTGGTAGCTCCTTTCAGCTCCATGTACGTGAAACTTTTCAGATTATTGCCTTGAACACCCGGGTAAAGCATACTCAACTTTGCTTTTCTGTGATGGATAATGTGGAAAAAAGTAAACAGGTTATGATTAGCAGGAGCAAGTTCAGAAATGCGGAGCTACCGAGGAGACCTAGCCGAGCGAGGTTGGGAATTGAATTGGAATGCTTTCTTGAATTGTTAGAATCGATCCTTATTTTGATTAGAGCTTTTTTACCAACAGTGGGATCAATCCTTCCGTTCATAAGAGGACTTCCCTTCTTCCAACAGTCATCATTTTTGAAAATGACAACGGCACAGAAGCAGTCACTTAGGCAACTCTGCTTGCACCAATCCTCACTTACTGGCTGAAAATGCTGATAATCCGAAAGAGGCCAGTCTCTGTTTTCATGTTCTTGAAAGTCGAAAAGATGTGTTTCTGGAAAGGCTTGATCACAACTCTGAGAAACGAAGTTCTGCTTGCATCCTTTCAGCACATCATTTTTATCAATAAAGCTGTATCCATCTGGGCACTCACAAACCGGTCCTTCAGTATCATCTCTACATAAGCTATTGAACCCACATGCACCGCCACCTGTGCTTTCTAAGATTGAGGTACATAAATTTGAAGGTATGAAGGAGGAAGAAGACCAACCCTGGCGCCTCGTTCCCACACTACCCGAGCCAGTTTTTTTAGGGTAGACATAGTGCCTGAAAACTCCATTGTACTCGAGCATTGCTCGGTGGTAGAAATCTTGCGTTGAAGAAGTATTGTCCGATAGCATATTAAGTATGCTACCATTTGTGCCCGTAAGGTAAATAGAGCCAGACTGGCTGAAGATGACCTGAAAACCGCTGCCCTCAGTGTGTGTTGACCAATAATCATGATTACGGGAATCCAATGGGTAATTTGTTGTATAAAGCAACAGTTCTCCATCAGATTTTAGCGCAAACTGGAATCTCCCTGGCGTGTAATTTGATGCCGTGTAGCTAGCATAGAGTTTGCTGTTCCGATTTAAAGTCTGCGTTGGTAGAAGTGTATTAGTTGGTTCCTCAAAACTCTCCCACAAATATTTTGAACTTTTGTTGGCCAACACAAAATTGCCGGTGTCTAGCATGGCTGCATAGGCAACTCCAGTAATACCCAAAGATCCAGCAAAAGATATTTGCTTTCCAGTTTTATCCTTGAGCATAAATTGGCCATCATTTGTAAGTTCAACCTGAGATCCTTGTGGCACAAGACTACCCCCATTGGCTGACCAGACTATCGTTCTTTCTGGTATTTTATTGAACCAGATAGCTAGTAGGAACCCATCTACTCCCAGTTGCCGAAAACCGAAAGCAAATTCACCAGATGGTGATCGCCAGGATGATGAGTTATCATCTAGTGCAGTGAGGGATGAGCCCAAGGATATATTGTTGTAAGTTTGAGCTGGAGTGGAAATTGGTAGTATCACTAGAAGGAGAAGTAGAAAGAAAACACTATATGGTAGTTCAAAATCCATAGTACATAATGAAGGAGTTAATGGTGAAGCTTCTGCTGAGAACCATTTACACAATGTTCATATATACACCATCATTTCCGGAAATCGTCATCTACAATACCTGAAGATCATCGACAGCCCCAACACTAGGTTTAATTGAATTTGCGATAATGCCAAACAATGCAGTCCTTTCCTTGGTATACACATCAAAATACTAGGACAAATAGAAAACTCAAATGTTCCCTAACAAGACTAATATATAAATACTATGTAAATGATATCTCTTGTTGTTTTGATGTGTAGACTGATTCTTTGTTCAGCATATTCACAATCTGTGCAAATAGATTCTTCGTTCAGCATATTGAAAAACTCATTTATTGAATAACAATTTCATGTTTAGTTTAATGACGGTCTTAGACAATATAAACTTCTGGTGTAAGCAGATAGGCGTGGAGATTCAGATTTATATTTGGATCATTCCATAAGTCTTCGTTTTCTACATTGTTTTAAAAGACATTAATTTTTCTATATCATCGATCTTGTTTAACCGACTCATACAAGGAACTCGTTGACTATTGTCTGAGTTTTACAAGTGTGTCGCACGATGTATTTTATATGTTTAAGATGGATAAAAGAAATCAACACAGGATCTTCGAAACTTCAAATGGTTTTATATACGGTTGAAAGCTTGAAAATTTAGCCTTAGAAAATTAGTCTACATATCTCTATTGATTCGGATGTTGATGCAGCTTTGGCATTCAGAAGTTTTACCAAGTAATTTTAATGGCTTAAAAAACGCTTCAATACAAATATGAGTGAAGTTTGTGTGTGTGTATAAAGGCTTCAAAATCGTATGATTCAATCCGCAGCAGATCAATTTTGCTTGGCATTAGTTGGGTACTGGTAAGAGGTCGCACTTTGTGCGATGGCAAGTACCTTCGCCCATGAGCGGTAGGTCTCGGGTTCGAGACTTGGGAGCAGCCTCTCCATAAATTGGGGTAAGGCTAGCCGACATTCACCTCTCCCAGACCCTGCATAAAGCGGGAGCCTTGTGCACTGGGTACGACCTTTTTTTTTTTATTAGTTGGGTACTGGTATTACTTAGCACTTCCGAAGAAAATAACCTTGACTGATTAACGATGGGTTGATATGTAATTTGATTTGTTACTTATGTGCAACATTATATATTCACATTTTCCACAAATGCAAACATTTCTACTTGTAAATTAAAACACAAATTAACTCTTGTCACTTGACGGTAAATCTTGGAACTCTCAGGCGGCTAAGCATTCCCAAATGTCGAGAACATTTTTAAACGATGCCATCTCTGGATATCTCACTTCAGTTTGTCTTCAAACAGGCCATGTCTAGCTACCTTTGATGCAAGACCTGCATTGTAAGCATTTTTTTGTTCATTACGTGCAAGCTCATCTTGGTGGTAGACAACTAGACATTAAAGAAAATGCTGCAATACAAGGAAAATTGTTTACAGAGGAGAAAGTGTTACAACATATTAAATTTTTCAAAGTACAAATGAGAGGAGAAAAAAAAAATATTTCTACTTTTTGTTGACACACTGAGGACGATCGGACTAACCAAATTCGTGGTTTTGAGTTCTTGATGATCAAACACATGAAATTATTCTAATGCCAATTCCATTGAGCCTAAAATGAGGATGGACTTGGGGGGGTTAAGACTTCAACATTTCCTTCAAGCATTCGTATGACATTCTTCATGGTTGGTCGAAATGCTGGATCGTCTTGAATGCACCAAAATGCGATCTTCAAATACATTTCCATCTCCTCCAGGTCATCCTTTGCCTCATTATTCTCGAACAGCCGGTGCAGTTTACTTTTCTGAGAGCAATGATACGCCCAATCCACCAGTATCATTTGTTCTTGTTCCTCTATCTTTGCTTCATAATGCTTCCTGCAGCAAACAATCTCTAATAACAAAATGCCAAAGCTGTAAACATCCGCCTTCACTGTGATAGGCAAGCTTTTGAACCATTCAGGAGCTGCATACCCTTTTGTTCCCTGGAATTTAGTAGCCGTACGAGTTTGATCCATCATCAATAGCTTGGCCACTCCAAAGTCGGAAATTCTTGCTGTGAAAGAGTCGTCTAGAAGAATGTTTTGAGGCTTAATGTCACAATGAATGATTTGGCTGCTACATTCCTCATGCAAATACAAGAGCCCTCTTGCAGTTCCCAAGGCAATTTCCTTTCTTTTGCACCAACTTGGCCTTGACCCTCCAAAAAGAAAGCTTTCTAGGGAGCCATTGCTCATAAACTCGTACACAAGAATTCGGTTATGCCTCTCATTGCAGAACCCTAGTAGTTGGACTAGATTTCTGTGATTTGTTCTGCCCATTGAGCTCACTTCTGCTCTGAATTTCAAATCATTCCCTCCAATCATCGTGTCCAGTCGTTTAACAGCAACACATTTTCCATTATCAGACGCTAAAACTCCTTTAAAAACCGTTGAAAACGAACCACGTCCTAGCTCTTCCATGAATCCGTTGGTAGCTTGTTTTAACTCCATGTAGGAGAAACATTTCAGATTAATCCCTTGAATGACCGGGTAGAACATATTCGCATTTGCTTTTCTGTCATTGAGAAAGCGCAAAACAAGAAAGCAGGTTATGAATAGTAAGAAGAAGTTCAGAAAAGCCGAACTACTTAGGAGAACTGGTTCGACACGTTTGAAAGTTGAACCGTCATGCTTTCTTTCATTTGTAGAATTCTTCCTCATTTTGATTAGAGATTTAGAACTGAGAGTTGGGTCAATCCTCCCGTTGAAAAGAGGAGTTCCCTTCTTCAAGCAGACATCCTCTGTGAAAACGAGAGCGGCACAGAAACAGTCCTTTAGGCAATTCTGCTTGCACCAATCTTCACTTACATTATTGAAATACTCATAAGATGCGGTAGTCCAATCGCTGTTTTGCATTTCTTGAAAATAAAAATGATCTTCTGGCGAGGCTTCATCACAACTTTGTGAAACGAAGTTCTGTCTGCATCCTTCCAGCTCATCGCTTGGATCAACAAAGCTGTATCCATGCGGGCACAAGCAAACTGGTCCTTCCTCATCATTTTTACATAAGCTATTTAACCCGCATGCACTAGGGCCTGTGTACCCCGTGATGGACGTGCAGATATTTGAAGGTATGAAGGAAAGCGAGGACCAAGCCACATGCTCCGTGTTCACACTGTTCGAGTTAATGCTTTTAGGGTACACGTAGTGCCTGAAAACTCCGTTATACTCGAGAGTTGCCCTTTGATAGTAGTCTACCAGTGAAACTGCATTGTTTGAGATCATATAAACTATGCTTCCGTTCTGGGCTGTAAGGTAAATGGATCCAGACTGGTTGAAGGTGACCCGAAAACCATTGTACTTGGTGCCTGTTGGCGGCCAATAAACAAGATTAACATAATCCAATGGGAAATTTAAATTATAAAGCGAGAGATCTCCGCCAGATTTCACTGTAAACTGGAACCTCCCTTTTGAATAATTTGATGGTGTGCGGTGAGCGAAGAGTGAGCTACCTTGATTTATTATCTGCGTGGGTAGAATTGTATCAGTTGGTTGATTAAAGCTCTCCCACAAATTCTTTGAATCTTGGTTGACCAGCACAAAATTTCCCGTGTCGAACATAGCTGCATAGGCAACTCCACTAGCTGCATCAGCTGTCCATATTGGTGTGACTGTTGCAGTATCTTTGAGCATAAGCCTGCCATCTTCCGTGAGTTCAACTTTGGATCCCTTCTTCACTAGATTATCGCCGTTGGCAGACCAGACAATAGTTCTTTCTGGTATTTTGTTGAACCAGATGGCAAGTATGAATCCATGCTTAACGATTTCTTGGAAACCAAAAGCAAAGTCGCCGGATGGTGAGGTCCAGGAGTTTCCGTCTTTTGCAGTGAGGGACGTGCCCAAGGATATGATTTTCTGAGTTTGAGCAGTGGCGGGAAAGGGCATTATCTGTATAAGAAGGACAAGAAGAAGAAGAAGAAGAAGAAGAAGAAAGGGTGAAGGATATGGTGGTTGAAAAGCCATGGTACATAACTAAAGAGTCAATGATGAAAACCGTCGATCAGAATTATTTGCCTTATATTTCTACATCCCATCCTTAGTCATCTACGCTACCTTAAGATCATCGACAATCCATCCAATATGTTTAACTGGATGTGAATTGTTCTGGTCCTTTGAAGCTAATATACTTTCTTCTCGCGTTTGCTTCCCACCTAAGTTTTCTAAGATTCCAAAAGAATGCAGTCCTCCCTTGTCGATGCGTTGCTTGGAAAAATCACTCTTGTAATTAGATAATGATTTCTTACAAATACATGATGTGTACTGTTTACTTGAACTGTCTTAGAAACTAAACTGCTGCTGCAACAAGAGAGATGGAGATTTGGCCTTTTCGAATTATTCCACAAATATTTTTCAGTTAGATTCTTTATATGTAAGCATAGGTGTTGTGTGATATATTTTAAGAAACTTTAATGAAAAGTTGCCGGTAATGTTCACTTTAACGAAAAACCTCATTTTTACACTAAAAAGTCAATCCTGGTACTATTCACTTTACCCTTTATTTTGTCATTTTCGTTAAAACTCAAAGTTTTCAAGCCATTTTCATTAGTTTTCCTTATATTTTTAATGCTTATGAGATGCCGGACGAAAAACCAAGAGAGATCATATTTGGCAGCCAGCTTCAAAGAATCTTTGGACAGCTGAAGGATGCCGTCCTCACTCTAATTTGGCTAGAAACCAATCTTAATGCCTCGGTTAATTAGAACCCTTCATTTTTATGAACACATTTTATTTTTCGGTCCATGGATGTTTTACATGGTACTCACTCTATTGATATGTAATATAGAGTAATTTCCATTTTACTATACTCAAGTTTCACAAAAATCGTATTTTGCTACGCTTAATTTTTCAATCATATCTAAAGTTGACAAATAAAATTGAAAATATTATCCTAATATATAGAAAAAACAAAACAAAGCGAAAATTCTCAACGAAACCCTAACGCAAGTATCAAGAGTGAAATATCCAAGTTAAAATCTACTTAAAACCTAAGTTGCAACATCTAGTTGATGGGTTCGACAAATGAAAAGTCAGTGATTTGCCGGCCTGTTAATTATGGTCCATAATTTATGGATCATATGCAGTAGGATTGCTTGACGTCCACACAATCGGTTTAACTTAAACAACAATTCGACTCATTTCTAATTGGGCGAGGTCACTTCTTTCTAGCCTTGAAATGCACGTCACTTTTAGATAGCAAAGTCCGAATGACTAACATTAAACTAACACTAGCATATGGGCACACACAAAGTGTGTGAAAAAAAAAAAAAAAATTGTTTTTCAAATAGAAGGAGAGAGGAAGAGAGTAATAGAAAATGTGGGAGTGGGAAGATTTTTTCTTTTTTTTCTTTTTTTAAAAAAAAATTAGAGATATGTTAGGATTATATGTAGATGAGACTTTGAAAAAAAAACAACAAAATTTGGTTGTGTGAAATTACATTTCTGCCTCATATTTCTTATTCATGTTTTGTTTTAATTAGAGGATAAAACAATAATTTTATAGGATTTTGGTTGGCAATGAGTATTTTATTAATTAGTAGAGATAATATATAATATATGTGCGTGTGTATGGATAAAATATGTATATGTATGTGTGTATGCACCAAAACTTGAGGTTTTCTTTGGCATATTGATCATCTCTTTTCTTGTGTTTCTAATGCATTTATCTATAATCATTTGATGCCTAAGAAAATAACAAGCTTCGGAACTTATGATGATTTCAGAGGATGGATAAGAGGAAGCATAAAAGTTTAAGCTATACAATCAATAGATCGTCACCAGTAACAATGGCTTGATTCAAAGAAGAAAACGGTGCAGAATATTGAATGAATTTAAATCACGAAAAAGTAAAAGGAACCCTAATCCGCATTTTCTTTTGTTTTACGCCTCTTAACTCTTCCTAACCAGCAGTTTTCTTTGTTTAACGTTCCTTCTCGGATCACATAATTATTTGCATCTAATTTCCTCGTTGGTAAAGGAGGAAGGGGAGGGCGTCAGGTAGTCGACAGCCGGCACTCCTCAATTACGTCGAATCCTTATGAAAATGAATCCAGAACGAAATCGCGCTAAAGCTAGGGCGTCACCCGTAAGTGGCGCGCTGTGTGGCCCGAGCACAATGATAAGTGAGTAAGGGTCGTTGTATCTCCATCGGTACCCGGATGCAGTGTTAAATGAGCAAGGGGGCCATAGAAACTTCTTTTCGAACGACTCCACTCAAAGTTGTTTGGGAGCATATGCTCCTATCAACTTTACACAGGACACACAAAAGAAGTACTTTGATCCTATGGGACGGGGGAGGGTGAAGAAGTTAAGACAGAAGGGTAGAGTTCAAGAGAGTAGAATGCGTTTAGGAACGTGGAATATAGGAACCTTAACGGGAAAATCTATGGAAGTAGTGGAAGTTATGGTGAGGAGAAGGATAAATATTATGTGCCTACAAGAAACTAAGTGGGTTGGTCTTAAGGCAAAGGATCTAGAAAACTCAGGGTTTAAACTTTGGTATTCGGACACAAATAGAACGAGAAACGGTGTTGGCATCATCGTGGACAAGACCTTGACACAAGATGTTGTAGATGTCAAGAGGGTAGGAGATAAAATCATGGCAATCAAGATTGTAATAGGACAAGAACTCATCAATGTGATTAATGCGTACGCACCTCAAGTAGGGTTGGATACGAGTTTAAAGGAGAAATTTTGGGAAGACCTTGGAGACTTGGTGCAAGGAATTGCCCAGACGGAGAAGTTATTTATAGGAGGAGATTTAAATGGACATGTGGGCAGGGAGACGGGCAACTATGGAGGTTTTCATGATGGCCATGGTTTTGGGGAGAGAAACGAGGATGGGGAAGCTATATTGGATTTTGCAATGGCATATGATCTCTTCTTAGCCAACACCTTCTTTAAGAAGAGATAAGAACATGTGATCACCTACAAGAGTGGGTCGTCAAAAACACAAATAGATTTTCTTCTAATGAGGAAAGGGGATCGTATAACTTGTAAGGATTGCAAAGTTATACCGGGAGAGAGCTTGGCTAATCAACATCGCTTGTTGGTGATGGATGTACATATCAAAAGAGTGAGAAAAAAGAACAAGACTTGGAAGTGCCCAAGGACTAGATGGTGGAATCTAAAAGGAGAAAAACAAGTCATTTTCAAAGAGAAAGTAATCACTCAGTGTGGATGGGATAAGAGGGGGAAGCTAGCCAAATGTAGGATTCCATGGCTAGTTATATCCGAAAAGTAGCAAAAGAGGTATTAGGAGAGTCCAAAGGCTTTGCTCCACACCAAAAGGAATCTTGGTGGTGGAATGATGAGGTACAAACAAAGGTGAAGGCTAAGAAGGAATGTTGTAAAGCCTTATACAAGGACAGGACCGATGAAAATGGTGAAAGGTATAGAAGAGCGAAGCAAGAGGCGAAGAAAGCTGTGAGAGAAGCTAAGTTAGCGGCTTATGACAATATGTATAAGCGACTAGATACCAAAGAAAGAGAGTTAGATATCTATAAACTAGCTAGAGCAAGGGAAAAGAAGACAAGGGACCTAAACCAAGTGAGGTGCATCAAGGATGAGGATGGAAAGGTTCTTGCTACAGAGAATGCGGTCAAAGACAGATGGAGATGTTATTTTCATAATCTTTTCAATGAAGGACATGAAATGAGTACTTCTTTAGGGGAGTTGAGTAACTCATAAGAGTGTAGAAACTACTCATTTTATCGTCGAATCAGGAAGGAAGAAGTGGTTGTAGCTTTGAAGAAGATGAAGCATAGAAAAGCAGTGGGCCCAGACGATATACCGATCGAAGTGTGGAAAGTCTTGGGAGAGACAGGTATAGCATGGCTCACTGACCTTTTCAATAGGATTTTGAAAACGAAGAAGATGCCAAATGAGTGGCGAAAGAGCACTTTGGTGCCTATCTACAAGAATAAGGGCGACGTACAAAATTGCATGAATTATAGGGGTATTAAGCTAATGAGTCATACAATGAAGCTCTGGGAGAGAGTCATTGAGCATAGATTGAGGCAAGAGACACGGGTTTCGGACAACCAATTCGGGTTCATGCCAGGGCGCTCAACCATGGAGACAATCTATCTCTTACGAAGATTGATGGAAAGATATAGAGATGGGAAAAAGGATTTACACATGATCTTTATAGATTTGGAAAAAGCGTATGATAGGGTCCCAAGAGACATTCTTTGGAGGATTTTAGAGAAGAAAGGAGTACGAGTAGCATATATCCAAGCTATAAAGGATATGTATGAAGAAGCAAAGACTGCCGTAAGAACTCATGAAGGACAAACCGAAAGCTTCCCCATAACTGTAGGATTACATCAAGGCTCATCCTTAAGTCCTTACCTTTTTGCGTTGGTAATGGATGAGTTAACAGAACATATTCAAGATGATATTCCTTGGTGTATGCTTTTCACAGACGATATAGTGTTGATAGATGAAACTCAGAAAGGGGTAAATGCGAAGCATAACCTTTGGAGAGAAGTGTTGGAATCTAAAGGTCTTCGCCTAAGCCGATCAAAGACAGAATATATGGAGTGCAAATGGAGGCCAAAATGAGTTAGGCGTGAAGATCGGAGATCAGGAAATACCAAAGAGCGATCGTTTTCGCTACTTAGGATCTATCTTGCAAAAGAACGGAGAATTAGATGGAGATCTCAACCATAGAATACAAGCTGGATGGATGAAGTGGAAGAGTGCATCCGGCGTGTTGTGTGACCGCCGTATGCCACTGAAGCTCAAGGGAAATTTTATAGGACGACAATAAGGCCGGTGATGCTGTATGGCACAGAATGTTGGGCGGTGAAGCATCAACACGTACACAAAATGGGTGTAGCGGAGATGAGGATGCTTCGTTGGATGTGTGGGCACACGAGAAAGGATAAGATTAGGAATTAGGATATCCGAGGTAAAGTAGGAGTAGCCGAAATTGTAGGAAAATTGAAAGAAAATCGGTTACGGTGGTTTGGACATGTGCAAAGAAGGCCTACTGACGCTCCGGTTAGAAGATGCGATTACGGGACAGAGGTTCAAGGCCGAAGGGGTAGAGAAAGACCTAGGAAAACTTTGGAAGAGACTCTAAGAAAAGACTTAGAGTATTTGGATCTAACGGAGGACATGACACAGGACCGAGCACAATGGCGTTCTAAGATTCATATAACTGACCCCACTCAGTGAAGAAGGCTTTGGTGTATTTAACACAATACGTTGAAATGAAGCAAAGCTTATTTATTGATATCTCCGATAAGTTACAAATATGTACATATACATGAGTCAAAATAAACAAACAAGAGGGAGCCTTCACAAAGGTTGCTTAGGAGAAGTCTCAGCAGTCGGTAGAGCCCCAGAATGAGAAGGCACCGGAAGGGGATCATTCGGAGCCTCAGTACTGGACAGAACCCTAGAAGGAGGAGGCATCGGAGGTTTATCATTGGGAGCTTCATTACGCGGTACAGCCCCAGAAGATGAAGACAATAAATGCCTTTGGAACAAACCCACAAACCGCTAATGATCAAGTAAAACCTGACCATCAGATTCCTTCATCTGGTCAAGCTTCATCTTCATGTTTGTAGTATAGTCATGTGCGAGCCGATGCAACTGTTTATTCTCATGCTTAAGCCCTCTAATCTCCTATTTGAGACTCATCACTTCAGCCGCCAATGATTCAACTTGGCAGGTTCGAGCAAATAGGCGTTGGGCCATATTAGACACAGAACCTGCACACTGAACACTTAGAGCCAGAGAATCCTTAACAGCCAACTTATCAGACCGTTTGGAAAGTAGTCTGTTATCTTTGGGAGTGAGAAGGTTTATGGCCACCACCGCAGCAGTCATATCATTTTTCATCACGGAATCCCCAACGGTAAGAGGACCAGTAGGGGATAAGAAGGATGGGCGCCATATATTGTTTGGAGAAGGTGTGGCTGCCTCTTCAACAAGGTTCAAGTCAAAACGACGGTCGGAGGGGCCAGACATTTTCAAAGGTGTTGAAGAAAGAAGAGGTCGGACAAATCAAGATCTTAAAAGTGCAAGAAGGGAGCTTCTACTGGTGAAGATTCAAGTGTTCTTTGGAACTTAATGCCAGCCTCTATAAAAATCTGCACTCGACGGAGCTTCAGAAATCGAAGAGGCGCCTGCCCAGAAATCGAAGAGGCGTTTGCTTTCTCAAAAGCTGGGCTGCTCAGAGACCACGAGGGCCGATCTCAGAAATCGAAGAGGCGTTTGCTTTCTCAAAAGTTGGGCTGCTCAAATACCACGAAGGCCGATCTCAGAAATCGAAGAGGCGCTTGCTTTCTCAAAAGCTGGGCTACTAAGAGACCACGAGGGCTGATCTTAGAAATCGAAGAGGCACCTGCTTTTTTCAGCCTTGTCAGCACCTGTCACATGCACACTCAGCTTTGCTGAAATTACGGGCATTCTGTTGAAGATTTCTGGTGAAGTAGAAAGCACGTGAATCTTACTGTTTAATCATCCACTTTCCACATGCACCATCAGCTCATAGGTACCACAGATAACTTTGCCAAATATCTCTTACAAAGTTTAGACACGTGAAGCTTGCAGCTCCCACTACATCGCTATGACCAAGAAGGGTAAAAGAATAGCAAAGAAATAACACTAACAAAGTTTAGACACATAAATTTTGAAGGTCTAGCTACCATATTATTACCCACAAGGGTAAAGGAACAACACCACTGCTGGATAATTGGAAAGTCCCTGTGTGTCAACTTTTGTGCTCCGTGGCAAGGTAGACTAGCAAACATGCCCAACCTTTACTCACATTCGAGAAAACACTCCCAACAAGATTGCTTGCTCCAAAATCGAAGAGGCACCGTCCTCCGAATCTCGAGAGCCAGACTCCTAACATGATTACTTTCTCAAAAATCGAAGAGACACCGCTCTCCAAATCTCGAGAGCCAGACTCCCAGCAGGATTGCTCTCTCAAAAATCGAAAAGGCACCGTTCTCCGAATCTCGAGAGCCAGATCCTCGACATGAATGCTTATTCGAAAACCGAAGAGGCACCGCTTTCTCAACTTCAAGAGCCAGATCTCCTTGGATAAAGTTTGTCTGTAATCTTCACACGCAACATCAGCTTTCCAGATACCACAGACCACTTTTTCAAAGTGCTCTGACACACGTGAAGCTGGCAGCTCCCACTACCGTGCTATAACCAAGCAGGGTAAAGGAATATCATTACTACTTGTTGTTAGGGAAACTCCTATATATGTCGACCTCCATCCTCAACGGACAGGCAGACCTGCAAAAATGCTCAACCCTTCCTCATATCTGAGAGGGCACTCCCAACAAAGCCTCTCGAAATACTCAGCTTTCTTTCCCCCCGATAATACCTCTGCAAACAAGCTACATCAGAGCAAGAATATCTCATATCATCAGGGTTAAAAGTAAGAGTATCCCATATCATGTTTTTTCCCTGTCTTTTCCTTTGGCCTTGTTCTTACCTGCAAGACAAGGAGAAAGAGAGCAATCAGTCAGCACTTGGAATCAAACTTCCAGTCAGGAACTAACTGCCTAGAACCCCTTACCTGATTACTTACCTGGCATTGCTCTCGAGTGCTCATCTTCAACATCTTAGGCTTCTAGATAAGATACCACATCTGCCTGAGGAACAGATAGGGAAAGTGAGAAGGATACAAGAAAGCATGTGGAGACAAGCGTAATAGAACACGTGCCGATACATCCACTACTTTGTCAACAGCAAAAGTATCCTATATCAGCAGGGTCGAACGTACTCTAGATTTGATGAACTTGTTTTGACTCTTAAATTCTTCAGTCGGCCTTATACTCTAGAGGAAACCAGAAAATCCTCTAGCCTAGTTCAAAAATAAGTCTGTGGAAAGTTACTTCTTCAAAAGCAAAAGTATCTTATATCATCTATTCTCCTTTTCTTCTCTTTATCCTTCATGCTACCTTCAAGATAGGGAGAATGAGAGCAATCAGCCAGAACTCGAAATCAAACTTCTGATCTGGGACTGATTGCTTGGAGCTCTGATTGCTTACCTTGTCTGTCACCTCTTTCAGCAAATCCCCTAGCTCGGCGACTTGGGGGACTCCTACTACATGGTTTGTATCGCGCTTGACCAAGCCTGAAATTACAAAGTAAGCTTCAAGTGAAATTGATACATTACCTTGTGCATCTCTATCAGTTAAAGATATCATCCCTGGATGGAGGAAGAGTACTTCTAGAGAAGATGCCACATCTACCTATGAGATAGATAAGGCAAGTGAAGACGAAAGCCTGAACCTATGTCATTTGTACTAAATCATTCACTTGTACTCACTAAAGGAGAGCTTGAACCTATGTACTTGTGTAAACCCTTCACAATTAATGAGAACTCCTTTACTCCGTGGACGTAGCCAATCTAGGTGAACCACGTACATCTTGTGTTTGATTTCCTGTCTTTATCCATTTACATACTTATCCACACTAATGACCAGAGCAATCTAGCAAAGATCACAAACTTAATACTTTCTGTTGTACCAAAGTCCTCACTGATTGTGTGCATCAACAATCCTTAAGTCCTTACCTTTTTGCGTTGGTAATGGATGAGTTAACAGGACATATTCAAGATGATATTCTTTGGTGTATGATTTTCGCAAACGATATAGTGTTGATAGATGAAACTCATGAGGGGTAAATGCGAAGCTTAACCTTTGGAGAGAAGTGTTGGAATCTAAAGGTCTTCGCCTAAGCCGATCAAAGACAGAATATATAGAGTGCAAGTTCAGTGCAAATGGAAGCCAAAATGAGTTAGGGGTGAGGATCGGAGATCAGGAAATACCAAAGAGCGACTGTTTTCGCTACCTAGGATCTATCTTGCAAAAGAACGGAGCATTAGATGGAGATCTCAACCATAGAATACAAGCTGGATGGATGAAGTAGAAGAGTGCATCCAGCGTGTTGTGTGACCGTCGTAGGCCACTAAAGTTCAAGGGAAAATTTTATAGGACGGCAATAAGGCCGGTGATGCTGTATGGTACAGAATGTTGGGTGGTGAAGCATCAACACGTACACAAAATAGGTTTGGACATGTGCAAAGAAGGCCTACTGACGCTCCGGTTCGAAGATGTGACTACGAGATAGAGGTTCAGGGCCGAAGGGGTAAAGGAAGACCTAGGAAAACTTTGGAATAGACCCTAAGAAAAGACTTAGAGTACTTGGATCTAACGGAGGACATGACACAAAACCGAGCGCAATGGCGTTCTAGGATTCATATAGCCGACCCCATTTAGTGGGAAAAGGCTTTGTTGTTGTTGTTGTTGTTGTTGTTGTTGTAACTTCCTAACCAGATCATGTTTTCTTGGATTGGTTGGGTTTGGACCGTTGGGTATTATTTAGCACTTTTGAAATTATAAATGGGCTTGAGTTTGTTCATGCACGGTAATTGACATGTTTCATAAATTGATATATACTTGCTTTCAACTTCTGAAATACTGGTTGCAGAAAATTTGTTACACACCAAGGACTAACCAAGTTTGTAGTTTTAAGTCCTTCATTACATGATCGAACATCGACATATTTTGATATCCAGAAACCAATAATTTCTATCAGTTAGATTGAACATATAATGAGAGATATTTGGTGGGATTGGGACTTCAAGAGTTCCTTCAAGCATCTGTGTGACATTCTTCATGGTTGGTCTTAGTGATTGATCTTCATGAATGCACCAAAATGCAATCATCACATACCTCTCCATCATCTCGAGGTCATCCATTGACTCATCATTATCATTCTCTAACAACAGGCGCAGTGTATTTTGCTTATAGCAACGATACGCCCAATCAGCTAGTACCATTTGATCTTCATCCTCCATCTTTGGTTCATAATGCTTCCTGCAGCAAACAATCTCTAATAGCATAACTCCAAAGCTGTAAACATCCGCCTTTGCTGTGACAGGCAAGCTTTTGAACCATTCAGGGGCCACATACCCTTTTGTTCCTCTGAACCTAGTAGTTGTTCGAGTTTGGTCCGTCTTCAAAAGCTTGGCTACCCCAAAGTCGGCAATTCTTGCTGTGAAAGACTCATCTAGTAGAATGTTTTGAGGCTTAATATCACAATGTATGATTTGGCTGCTGCATTCCTCATGCAAGTACAAGAGTCCTCTCGCGGTTCCCAAGGAAATTTCCTTTCTCTGATACCAGCTGGGCCTTGACTCTCCAAAGAGGAAGCTTGCAAGAGAGCCATTGGTCATAAACTCGTACACAAGAATTCGGTGCTGCCCTTCGTTGCAGAAACCTAGTAGCTGGACTAAATTTCTGTGATTTGTTCTCCCGATTGCGCTCACTTCAGCTTTAAATTCGAAATCATTTTCTCTGACCATACTGTCCAATCTTTTGACAGCAACATATTTCCCATTCTCGGATGCTAGAACTCCTTTGTAAACCGTTGCAAAAGCACCACGACCTAGTTCCTCCTTGAATCCGTCGGTAGCTTGTTTTAGCTCCATGTAAGTGAAGCATTTCAGATTAATGCCTTCAATGCCAGGGTAAAGTTTACTCACCTTCGATTTTCTATAATGAAAACGCGAAATAACCAAATAGGTTATTAGAGAAATGACCAAATGGGTTATTACTAGCCATCTGGGTTATTAGACAATGGTTTTTTCGGGTATTTTATCAAACCAGATGGCTAGTAAGAAGCCACCGCCGTTACCATTTTTTTGGAAACCGAAAGCAAATTCCCCAGACGGCGAGGGCCAGAAGGTGTTGTCATCCAGAGCAGTGAGGGATGAGCCTAAAGTTATATTCTGGTAAGCTTGAGAAGTGGTGAAAAATGGAAGATGTATAAGGATGAGTAGAAAGCATAAAGCATGTGGTATTACGAAAGCCATGATTCCAAAGAGCATATTACTCATTTGCATTGCATTGTGTATATCCCTATATATTATAAATCTTTTTCGCTCTAAAATCATGGACTATCCATTTATATCATTAGGGTTTGATGTATTTTTGTTTAACAACGTAATGGAAACCTCTCTGGATAAATGCTATTAACCACTTAAGCTACATGACTTCGAGTGCAGAGTAAACGCTTTTAAAAATGGGGAGGAATCCGTGACACCCCTTTTTTTACAACTTTTTACACACGTTTTTTCGAAGCCCACTTCGTAATGTATTTTAATCAATCAAACCGTCTATCTTTTAAGTCTTCCCTCAAATTTCATGTGTACAAAAAAATCACTCAAATCTGAAGACCACACAACCGTTGGATTAAGGGTACTGTAGGGTTTCTTTGTAGAACTGTATTCGGCAATTTTCTTCACTACAAATGAATGTCATAGGGGTTTTGGACTTGTCTAATTTTTTGTAAGGATGATCTATAAATGATGTTCTAAAAGATAGGTGATTCGGAACATTATGACCTCACAAAAATGTGTGTAAAAAATTATGTAAAAAAAATGGTGTCACGGATCATTCCACAAGCGTTTCCTATTGCTGTAAAATCATTGATATTATCTATCACTGCCTTGTTAGACTTCTTGATCCAATGATTTTGTCACTAAATAAATGTCTGAGCCTAAATATGATGTATTTTAATACCTTAAAAGATGCATCAAACAATGGTTTTTTGGATAATTGAAAGCAGAAAAAAGGCCAAAATGGTAGGGCAGTCTTCAATTTGGATATTGAGAACAAGAGTTTGATCCATAGGAAAAAATGGTAGTGCAGTCTTCAATTTGGACCTTTCCAATTAAGATTGTGTATGTAAATCTTTGGGAGTATATTATTTCATTTGTAAAAATATTCCATAATACAAGCAAGAAGCTGACGGTTCCGCTGTCTCCAAATTGGAGTACGCTCTATGTTTCTTTGAGGGGTGACTTTTAAGGGAAATTTTTCACTGTGATCGAAACACAAGTGGAACACCACGTGTTTTAATAGAAATTGTGGAAAATTTTATTTTTTAAGTTATTATTGATTTAATATTGATGGCACACTGACAAAATTTCGAAAAACAATTATTCTAGAAAATAGAATTTGTATTTTCATCATTTCAGCCAATTTCTCTAATTTGTTTGAGGTCACGATTGTTTGTATGTTATCATATGTTTTAAAAATACTTTGATTTGCTGTACGCGTCAAATGATTCATTGAACTACATATATTTTTAACTCCAAAGTACGATACTTGTGTGTATATACACACCTAATACACGTTCTTTTTAACATGTTTTTCAGTCATGCATATAGAATTCACGTATTCCACACATATTTCCAACATATTAGTGAAAATTTTAACAAAACAATTTTAAAATTTTGGATAATACACATATATCCTTCAATATAATTTTGAACAAAGTTGTCAAATAGTACACGTATCAGTATTTTTTTATTTTCTTTAAAAGGGACTAGTCGGTGGTTTTGATATGTCAGTTCACTATTTCGGAGTCCAAAAAGACTCACAAAAGTATTATAAACTCCTCTTGATCATCATCGTATGATTCACTACTACCAAAAATCAAAGACACAACGAGCCGTGTGAACAACGATTTAACCTATAAAACCACGATTCATGTGTGTATGAAATTTGAAAGCCCAAGTTGGAATGGGCCATGCGCCCAATATCATTGTGCCAAGTTTCCTTTTCTTGATATCGTAAATAAACAAAATTATAAATAAATATGCACAAAAGAGAAATTAATCCTATTGGACAATACAAGAGACCATGGATCGCAATCTCAGCAGCTCCACTTAACCAATCCTAGTCGTCCACTAAAACCTTATCAACGCTCCAAAATCTCCCTCCAAACCATTTCAAAACACACACAAAATTTACATTTCCCTCCACCCACACCCCCACTATATATACCCACCAAAATCCAACCCAAATTCCTATCACTTTCCTGTTTCCAATTACCCAATTTTCCCGAGAAACAAACAGATCCAAGAACACTTAGAACCATCCCTCTCAATTTTCTCGATGGCACGCACCAAGCAAACCGCCCGGAAATCGACCGGAGGCAAGGCCCCAAGGAAGCAGCTGGCCACCAAGGCCGCCCGGAAGTCTGCTCCGGCGACTGGAGGAGTGAAGAAGCCTCACCGCTTCAGGCCGGGAACGGTGGCGCTGAGAGAGATCAGGAAGTACCAGAAGAGCACCGAGCTCCTGATCCGCAAGTTGCCATTCCAAAGGTTGGTGAGGGAGATCGCCCAGGACTTCAAGACCGATCTGAGGTTCCAGAGCAGCGCCGTGGCGGCGCTCCAGGAGGCGGCGGAGGCGTACTTGGTGGGACTGTTCGAGGACACCAACCTCTGCGCGATCCATGCCAAGAGAGTTACCATTATGCCCAAGGACATCCAGCTCGCTCGGAGGATTAGGGGCGAGAGGGCTTGATGAGATTTGGAGGGCAATTTCGGGGTTTCAAAGCCTTTGGCGTTTAAACGACGTGTAGTTAGTTGTGGACGGATCTTTTGTTTTGGAATTTCCAGATCTTAAAGATTTGGTTCGTGTTTAGACGACAAGTCGTTTGTTTCGATAACTGTTGTGGTATAATATGTTTGAAATCTAATGGCTAATTGGATTTGTTGTTTTAATTATATGATTTATTCCTCCCATTTAGTCTTAAAATGTGGTTTAATCATGAAAGTAATCATTCTTTTGACGTCAGTGCTTTCAAGTTAGATTTTTGGTTTGGGATAGGGATTTTTTTGGTTCGGTTTGGAATTTTTGGTTTCACCCCTAAAGTTAACTCACTCTAAAATTTTAAATGCTTGTGCATTTGTTCTCTTCTGTGCATCTCACTCAGGTTTTTAGCTTACCGTTTTTATGTGATGATTATGCTTATTATTTTATTTATCATTATTTAATGAATTTAAAATTTTGTATCTATAAACTACGTAGATTTTGATATTTAAATTTATTTAATAGCGATAAATATAACGATCAACATCAATATTATTTGACGGTAATGAACAAAAATATTGTTATCCTACTCGCATGCATGAGCTCCACCTTTTGGCCGGGCCTAAATCTTTTTCAATTTTTTTTCTTTTGCTGGGCCAATATTTAGGTCACCATTGGAAGCCCAAGGTCAAAATGTAAAGGCCCAAATTTATTGGGCTTTAGCCAGGTTTGAGGAGGTGCATTGGGGAGAGGTCCAAAACAACGAAACTCAAGGCCCATATCTTTACCCATATGGGGAAGTTGGTTTGCCCAAAATTGGCAAATTAGATGGTTTTCCCTTATGAACATATATTGTATGCTCCAGATAAATTTTTTAGACCATATTTTATAGGCTATACAATGAGACGATTGGTTGTTGGATTTCATTTAAAATTATTTAAGATAAATCCAACAATCAACTTCCACATCTTAAAAATGGCGATCTTAAATCAATAAGACTCTTAGTTTTGCGAGAATCGAAGGAATGTCTATCGTACACAGTTTTATCATTGTTTTACAAAGAAGTTGTTCTCACGACTCGAACCTAATCATAAAGAAGCAACATTTTCGTTGTACTAAAGCTTTCCCTCAACCTCCACATCATGTGATCACGGAATATGATTTTAAGTAGGTAATCTCTTTAACATCCCCCTAATTACTTGTCCATGTCATAAGATAAAATTCAATTAATTCATTAAAAACCAATAAAATAAAAATTCCATATTTTGGCTTATATGGTAAAAACAGCCCAAGTTCGTATTTGTGCATTGACAAATGCCAAATATGACTGAATTACCAATTAAACCACGATTTTAAACCAATCTCAAAAATGAATTGCAGCCGTGCACCAAAATCCAACGATTGAAATTCGAATAAAAGAATTCGACCGTTGTGGCCTAACGTCGGTTCGCGAGCTTCAAATATTACCGTTTGCTTTGCTTTTAGGCTCCTGAGACAAGAAACGCAAAGCGCAGAGCGAAGCAGGGAAAGAAAGAAGGCGATTTTCCTTTGAAAAGTCACTGAATCCGGAAACTCTAGAGGGCGATAAGGAGATCTCAGCCATCAATGGAGGAAGCCAAACCAGCGGTTGTTTCACAGCAACCCAAAGGTATTCGCCGATCCCATTTCTGATTTCTGAATTGAAAATTTGAATCTTTTAAATTTAAAAATCTGGGTTCTTTTGATGTGATTCTATCTGGGTTTTGTTCAATTCTCCATTTAAATTTCTGGGTTCTTTTGATGCAATTTTTTCTGGGGTTTATCAATTTTCTTGTTTATTTTGATCTGCCCGTTTCTTTTCTTGTTCATATTTTCTAATTCGGAGTGTTGGATTTGATGGGTTCCTTCTGGGTATTTGGTTTACTGTTGGTTAATTAATTGGGGCTTTTTATTCTGGAAGTATTTCGTGTTCTTTCTTGTTGTTGTATTGTAGCGATTCAGATTTTTTTTTCTGGGAAATCTTTATATTTTAATGGCTGGTTTCTTCGATATTGATGTATTTCGCGTTTGTTTTTCCTGAAGGTGGTGATGCACTTAGAAGGGACAGGCGAGTTCTTCAGGACATTGGCAATCGCCCCATCACTAGGTCTCTACTCTCTTTCTCCTCTCTCTCTCTCTCTCTCTCTCTCTCTCTCTCTCTCTCTCTCTCTTTCTCCTCTCTCTCTCTCTCTCTCTCTCTCTCTCTCTCTCTCTCTCTCTCTTCCGCAAACACACAAGCAATCAACTAAATTCTTGACTTGCAGGAGTTTTCATGCACAACTGATAGCAAAGGGACAAGAAAAAGGAGTTAACAATGTGGTAATAATAATTTACCACAGCTTTTTGCCACATTATTTTTGTTCTTATGGATTTTGATTTTTGAAACTTGGAGTTAATTGTGCTCATGGAACTGGATTCTTTAAATTATAGAACCCTGTGGTGCTGCCGGTACTTGATGATAAGCTAGCTCTCAATCGAAAGCGTGTTCCTGCCAAGAAGGTAGTTCCCAGGAAGGAAATTGACAAGCCAAAATCTGATGCTGTGGTTGTTATTAGTTCTGATGAAGGAGAAGAAAAGAAGAAGCCAACACCTGTGAATCGATGCAAGCCTGAAGAAGGGCGGAAGGAAGTCAAGACTCTGACTTCGATCCTCACAGCTCGAAGCAAGGTCAGTTTTGGTTTTCTTTTGGCATAACAGGTGTTGAGTTTTTAAATATTCCTTGTTGGAGTATTTGAAATTTTTGTTTGCTGCAGGCTATGGCTCTTGGAGTGAACATCAAGCCAAAAGAAAAGATTGTTGAAATCGATTCAGCTGATGTCAACGATGAATTAGCAGTGGTGGAATACATTGATGATTTATACAAGTTCTACAAGCTCACTGAAGTATGTTGTATTCTGTTCCTCTAGTCATCAACTTCCCCTTCTCCTTATCTCGTATCTTACCAAATGAAATCTTGGAATGCAGGATGATAGCCGTGTTCATGACTACATGGATTCTCAGCCAGACATAAATACAAAGATGAGATCAATCCTCATAGACTGGTTGATAGATGTTCACAGGAAATTTGAACTGATGCCTGAAACCTTTTACCTGACTGTAAACATAATTGATCGGTACCTTTCGAAGAAGATTATTTCTAGGAGGGAACTTCAGCTAATTGGTATTAGTTCTATGGTCATAGCATCCAAATATGAGGAAATATGGGCTCCACAGGTAGTGTTCCTTGAGTTGTTTTAGTGACATCATATTTTGAGAGTTGGAATTTGATCTGAAATGGGGTTTTCGATATGCAGGTGAATGACTTTGTTTGCTTGTCAGACTATGCATACACCAGCGATCAGATACTACGCATGGAGAAAGAAATCCTGGGGAAGCTGGAGTGGTATTTGACAGTTCCCACCCCTTATGTCTTCCTGTCTCGGTACATCAAAGCTTCTGTTTCGCCTGATGAGGAGGTAGTTAATTTTCTGTGGTTTTCAGTAAAACAGAAACATTAAAACTCTGTTTGTTGAACCGACAAGTACTAATTTACTTACTGATCTAATGCAGACGAAGAACATGGTTTTTTTTCTAGCTGAGCTCGGAATCCTGCATTATCCAACTATCATTCTGTACTCCCCATCCATGATATCTGCTGCCGCCGTCTATGCTGCGCGTTATACTCTCAATAAGAATCCTTTCTGGACTGAAACTTTGAAGCACCACACTGGCTATTCTGAAGACCAGTTGAGGTAAATTTCATTTGGAATCTGTGTGGTATAGCTGTGATTTGCAAAACAGTTGTGTATATTACTAATTCGGGTGTGTTCTTTGTAATGCAACAGGGACTGTGCCAAGCTCTTGGTTGGCCTTCACTTGAATGCAGCGGAAAGTAAACTTCAAGCAGTTTACAGGAAATTCTCTAGGCCGGATTATGGTGCTGTTGCTCTTTCCGTTCCAGCCAAAAGTTTTCAGCCATCTTCATGAAGTGTTGCTTCTGAGTCCTGTTTACTTTTTGTAGACGAAGATTTTCAAAACCGTGTGTCTTTCGGCTTTTATCTTTTAGTCCTGTATATCATCAGTTTTCCAATTTGTCACTGTTGTTGCTACAACAATATAGCCCATGGTCATGTCTGTTGAAATTTAGTCCGTAAACACTAGATTTGGTGCAATCTTTTCTTGCAATTTCAGTTTTGATCTTGCAGTGCAAAATTGCATTATTAATGAGAATTGTCATATTGATTCGAGTACCAACTGTGATCTCCATAGACAAAAATATTCATCCATAATAATGTATATGTTATTTTGGGTCAAAACGTACAATTTCACGATCTCTGAAATCTTCTCAAACAAACTATTCACTACAATCTACAACAATCCTCCAATCTATAAAATCTACAAAAGAAAATACGTCTACTCTTCCTCTGGTCCCCTGGATATTATGAACTGACAAATTATGAACTGCACAAATCATAAGAGCCTCGGGGTTAAGCATTTTGCAGTTGTTTCTTGACCACTGGACATCTCTGCCTACACTGGTAGAGAGATACAAGTCGCCATAGCATCAGTTGTTCACTTTAACATGACTTGTGACTTTGCGAAATCATGAGCAAAGATGAATTCTGAAACCAATCATCCATAAAGTATCAGGCCTCATGTATTAACAACGAAAACTCATCAGTGATACTGTATAAAGGTGTACGAATACAAGATTCATGGTGAAATTAATTCATAAAGGAAATACTGCAAAGTAATAGATTGAAAGCACAGGTTGGGTCAAATGTTTAGACACGTTCCAACATCGCAAACCATTTTCCTTCACGTACGTGTGTATAATAGGAGTAGAAAGTAGAAACCATGTCATAGGATTTTAAAGAATCTATAGGATTTGAAAAACTGAATCACAAAGTAGGCTTTCGAGAATACATACCCTTGTTCCAGCAATAATGGTACTGTTGAGAGGATGAACTGCACATGCCGTAACTCTTTCTGACAATGGAAGAAACCTGTTTTTCTTATCTTGATTCTTTACCCCAGAAAGATTTTGTGCATCGTCTCTACAAGATTAAGAAACATATGGTTAACCAAAATGCAAAATAAACAACGTTCCCACAAGGGCCAAACCGAAAATGAGACAATTATAGGAGAAGGGGAAAAGGCAAGTGAAGTAAACATCACATTTCTACTCTTATCTAACCATCCTTCGAAAGTAAAAAGTGCTATTAGTTCTGCTGAATGTTCATATCATTTCAGATTATGTATTCGATAAGAAACCCTCAGCCGCAGAGGCTGATGGTCACATTACTGTTCTTATCTAACCAACCTTATAATTTAGGCCTTATGCCTAGGCAGACCTGATGGCTAATTGACATACTGGTAAGTTGTAGAGTTTCTTACATGTAGTCCACATGGCTAGGAGAGCTTGAATTGGGATAGAAATCCAAAATATAAATCCCACTGTCAGTTGATGATCCAACCACATAGATCTGCATTATAAAAGTGACAGATTTAAGACTTTTCTGTACAATACAAGTGGTCGACACAACAAAAATAAATTTTGAGGCCAAGAAAATGAAAATCTTGTGGGATTGCTACAGCCTCCACGTACCACCGATTGTAATCAACCACTTTAGAAATGACTTGGAGTATGCAAGTAGTGGTAAGTCCTTACCGAATTTATTGGCAGCCATGAAGGTTTTCTCAAATATAACAGATCAGCTGACACACCAGAATCATTTCTACACCATCAGAATGAAAGGAAACATTAAACAAATAGAGCTATTAAAAACAAATTTATAGTGCTTTTAAAGTTAACACATGATATTAAATGAGTAACACTTACAACCAAGCAGGCGGAGGACAATGAATATGTGTAACTTGAAAATTATAAACATCCAAAACACCTGACCTGCATTAAACGAGGCACAAGCAAGAAGCAATGGAGAGTGCGTTAGAATGATGCTTTCGGTAAAAAAAAACTACATCATATTCTAAACGGGAAATTATTAAAGGCTGTATTGTCTAGTACAGCAAGTCCAGCAAGCCCTGCAAGTCCTGAATGTGTTGAAGAGTTGCTTTACCCCCAAAAGAATTGTCACATGTCAAGCACACATTCCTATTGTTTTCTAAGTTACATTTCCCTTTTACCGAACCAAATCTCTTGTAAAAAATATTTTCTTGAATGATAAATTATCATGCGTCCGACGTATTCAGAACAGTATTCCAGCTAGGTTCATATTGTTAGGTACTTGCAGCCAGAGGCAAGTTTTTTATTCAAAAATTAGCATACAAAATTAATCAACACCAATCATAACAGGAAAGAAAACTCCTTCCCAAACCTACCAACCATCATCAAGGTGGAATGCCAACTGATGCGGGCAGGATGGATCGAGATTTATGGATTGTATCTCCTTAGAAACAATGTCTGATTGTGCCTGAAATATAATGAGAACATTTAGTTGTCTAAATTAAAATACGCAAAACATGACATTTACATAACTTAGGTCTACTATGAATCTATGATTGACCTTACATGCATAAAAAATTTGGATGAACAATACTATTTCTTTTTCCTAAAACAGTATTTGTAAATAAGAAACATATTTGATACCTTCAGAGGCCCAATTTTCTCTAACATTGATGATAACTTCAATGATGTTAGAGGTGGATGACGTATCTATAGAAACCAAAAAAATGAAACAGAAAATTAGTACTATCATTTTGCAGAACTGCTAGGATTGTGTCAGGGTGCTGATTTTCAGTTCTTGTTGTTTTACTTCTTTATTACTCTGAAGAGTAGAAGATGTTCTTCCACCACGAAGATCCCATATATAAATAAATCCATTCTTTCCAGCTCCAAAAACGATCTGAACAAAAAATGTGTAAAACTGTTTAGAGGAAAAATTTACTCATGGAATGGAGAAATCATAGGATATCGACTGAGATCATGCTTCATAATTCAAGATCCTTAATTGAGACTTCCAAGCATTATTCTCTTATTGTGTAACTAGTTAGTTTGGGTCTTTCTATGAATCTCTTTTATGTTATATTCACACAAAAACTATGAGAAAATTCACTCATATAGGGACTAAAGAGTGCACCACACTACGTCTAATCATTTAGACCCTTCCAGTTTTCTTTTTCATGCAACTGCAAAAAATAATTAAATTCAATTTTGGGTCATCACAATTAACTTGGAAAGGAATTACCATACCCTCTGAACTATGATGACTGAGTTCCTGGTTTTAAGAAAATGCCTTGCCTGACATATTTCTTCCTAAATGATCTTTCACCTTAAGATAATTGACATAACTAGAAATCTAGAGTATATACATATATAAGTTTGAACGAGTAGTCCTCATTCATAATCACGATGATTTCTTGTTATTAAACATAATTTTTTATTATGTACTAGGTTCATAACACAAAGAAACAAAAGCATGGTTACATGCTTTCCTAAAAGATGTGCATATCTCAAGTTCCCATATATATGTAAAAGTAAAAGATTGAAGAAAAAGTTGTGAATTGTTACAGACCTGATTTTCCACATTCAATTGGATACTATTAAGGGTTCCACGGGAATCTGTAGTGAGTTCAAGACATGGAAATGTGCTCTTTCTTCTGTCCCATACGTTGATTGCACCATGTGTATCAGAAGCCAGTATTCTAAAATCACCAAAAAAGGAAGGCCGTCTTAGAAAGACAATATAACTGATAGAAGTAAAAAATACGTACAAAAGTCAGGAAATGGTCCCAAGAAAAACGTTGTCTCTTTATTTCACCAACCTGGAATCATCAAGTGAAGTAGAAGCAGTATCAGTAAGGCCCTTATGAATATTAGACCCAAAGACGGAAACACTATGTCTTGTCCTTAACACCTGGATCAAAAAATAAGGATTAATGTCAAATATAAGTATTTATCGCATAGATGTCCACAAACGTATCGTATAGAGAAGCTTATCAGATATCAAAGTTTATATAGCCTGACTGGAACTGCAAATCTAAAAATTCACATTATTCTCATTTAAATCATGCATGGGGTACGTATGTATCTGTGCGCCTGTGACTATGTCTGTGAGTACAATTGAGCGCTTTTATTCCTCTAAATTATCTCTTAACCAAGAAAAGAGAGGGAGAGAAACTTACCTGGGATGGTTTAGATGAGATATAACTAATATCAAATATAAGTACTTCATTCCTTTTTGTAGATGTGCAAACAACCTAACATAAACAAATTAGGAAAATCCTGATGTTAGAAACCCACGAGAGATAAACCAATTAAAACAAATCAACCTTAAATGTGCTGTACTCAACAACATAAAGGAGGTTTCTAAACTAACAGTACAACATACTACAAATCCATTTGTTTTCAATTAAGAAGAATATAAGCATATACACAGTAAAAATAACCCCATGGATCATTAGTGTAGAATAAAAGTAACAGGCTGAAAATTATGCATACATAAGATAAGCATGAGAAATTGTCAGTTGGAAAAAGAAAAGCCATTATGTATATAGTTCTGTGGAGTCACGACTGCAAATAAAGCACAATGAAGCAGCCTTATTACATTAACAGTATCTATCGTAAAACTTGTATTGAACTCAAACCTCATCTTGGTTAGCAAGATTCCACTGAACAAAGTCTAGTTGTTGATCGAAAGAAAGGTGCACCACATGTTTTGATTCATCTTCCTTCAAGCCTAGCAAGAAAGGAGGAACAAAAGAGCTAATTAAAAGAGGGTTTCTAAAGCACAAGTGTCAACCAGTAATTTGCAAGCACACTTAATAAATCATAATAAGCGCTACAACTTTTCAAATTAAGTACTATTTTCCATCCTTCATTGAACATCAACTATAAGCTCAAGGGAAAAAGGACAAAGCTATGAGACTTGTTAAACCTAAAAAATGCATGTACACAAAGGCTTGTGCATTTGAACTGTATCCATTGGTTTTGTGCAATGTTGTACAAGCCCAGCAGACTATATAATATGCATCACCAATGTAATATGCTCAGAAATTATGAGCAGTGCCTAGATAAGGATAGGTTTGCCTCTGCCAAAACAAATATATGCCGAAATAAGAGAAAAATTTGTAGTGAAAGAACTTACGGTGCAAAGGTTCATTACTCTGGCAATAAAGAGTTTCGAAATCATGCACTGTTAAGCACCCTGATTTTGTCACAGATGCCAGGTATATTCCCTAAATATAAATTTATCAAGGAGAAAAAACGAAATGTAAATACAAGAAATGAAGTGAAAAGTAGAACCAACATGCACACACACACATGAACACAGAAACACAAAATGAAATAAATCGAAAACCAACTCAAAATGTATTTACCTTTTGGTCAAAATCCAGTGCAGAGATTCCTTGCCTGAAAAGATGTCTAAATGAGTAAATTTTTTTCACAACAGATGAATTACATAAGTAAATAGACATTACTGACTTTGTGATTGGCGCTTGGCGATAAAGAAACGCTTCATTGTCGATCCAATTCAACTACAAAATTGAAAACATCACAAACATAATAAAAATTTAAATCTTAATAATCATGACAAATTGGGTTTCTGCTTTCCGGGTTTGTAACATTACATACATGGGTTTGACAAGGTCCGCCATTGACGTGGTACAAATGCGGAAATTTCTTAAGCTACATCAAACATCAAAGTAAACAAATTAATGTACTTGCAAAATGCAGCTAACTAATCTAACTGATAAACTCGGGAATATCAAAACTAACTAACTGGGCACCTCCGAATATGATTCCATGAGTAAACCGGAGACAGAATGGCGGTAATTGGGCTCGAATCTTCCGTTCAGTTCGATCATGCTCCGACTCCATCTGCACCTTAACAAACGAAAACCCTCAATTGAAAATGAATACAGAATTAAAGCAGGGGAATTGAAAAAGGTTGTCAATTCGTGATTACCGTGAGATAGGTTTGCTGGGATTTTGAGACGAGGGCTTGAGACTGACCAAGTATTTTTCCATGAAAGTTTCGGTGTGCGAATTGAGAGGTTTGAATTTGGGGTTTTCTTTAGGGTTTAATTTTCCCGCCATGTTATGTTGTTTTGGTGCTATGTACGCGCGCTTTCTGGGTGGCTTGGGTTCAGTCGGATCATCCACATTCATACCCGACTATTTAATCGGGTGGATAATCTTTTGAATTTGTACCAACGGCTTATTCCTTCATTTATGTTCTGGTCTGTCAAATCTTCTGTACTAAAAATAAAATAGGTGTGACCTTTCTATGACCTTAAACATTGACTAACACGTGTTTATAAACTTAATTTTTCTTTAACTTTGTTGTCATAAATGTAGTATGTGTCAAATAATAATTGGGACCACAAAGAGATCATACTTGTTTTGGGTGCAAAAGATTTGATCTCGTTTGAAACAGCTTCGTATAAACTATTTGTGTCTTTTGTTAAACTTTAGCCCTATAAAATCATTTTTCTTCACATAAAATTCGACATAATTTTGTCTACTTGAAGAAAACTCAGTGATTAAGATTCACATAAACAAATTCATTAATTATGCTATGCTTTACATATTTTACATTTTTTAGATGCCTCCAACACCCCTATTGCATGTTTGACGTACATAATTAATTCTACATTTTCAAAATACGACTTCTAGCCATCTGGTTTACCAAAATACCAGAAAGAACTATTCTTGTTTTGATCACATAAAGGTGCAGTACCATGAACATTGTCGTCACTAAAGAAATGTACAGTATTATCAGCGACGGTTGATTATAACGGGTCAGGGAAGCATCCGTGCACTCTTTCGTTCTAGCCATGCATGTAGTAGTTGTAGGAAGACGAATACGTAGACTCGTCTAAATATTGAAATGCATACGGATAGTATTCGCCGTCGTATGGGAACGGCCAAAATCCGGCCCTCCTCCCTGTTCTTCTCCCACAACCTTTAACACCTTCCTTTGATCTACATACCCCGTCACCGTCGCCTTTTGTTTTTCCATGTCTGTTTCCAAGCTATCCACACCTGCATGCATATTCTCATATGCATAATCCAATATTGTAATTAATTTTGTGACAATGCGGTACAACCAGCACGTCAAATTAACGAGATTGGTGAGACAAAAATGATGAATTAGAAAAGAGATATTGCCCTCCATTCGCATCCTTCGCAATCCATATGCACCAAAAGTTCTAAAACATCCGAATGAAAAAGGAAGAATGATTTCTTGCTATGTAATTGATTGTCTGATTTCTGCATTCATTTGTAAAATTCTGATCTGCTATAACACCACATTTTCTAGCATTTGCAATTGCAGCAATATATATATATATATATATATGTGTATGTATATATACATATACACACACATATATATATACAGCTAAGAAAAAATGCTACTTCAAATTTTGCATAAAGCAATCCAAGTTAGAAATACTTCAACTTAAAGACTGAATCCAACAGTGTCTTGATTTTTCATTTGGCCACCTAATACTAGTATTATAAAATGCAACTTGATTGTACCAGGCTTATTTAAACAGACCTCAGACAAGAAAATACTGGCAAAGTTCATTGTTTATATGTCGAATTCTAATCAGGCAAGTTACAGGTAAACGCTTTATTTAAACACTGAACAAAAATGATACAAAAATGCCAATCCTCCGTGATTAAACCAACAGCTTATTTTAATAAACGAGATTGTCAATGTGTTGGATAAAACGTAGTTGTCAGTGTCTAGGTACATTCAAACAGGTATACGTGTATGATAAATTATGCGTATAAAACTATAAATATAGAAATACATAGTACATACTAGTCTTAGTAGATTATTCGAATTTGCTAGTATTTGGTATGTAAGCAAGGTCAACGGCGATTGCCCTAGGATTTGTAAAGAGGGCTCTTGTCTCTGAGAAATACAATATGTTTTGGAGGTTTGTAGGGTTTCTATTGTGTTTGTTTCTTGGGAAAGTTGAGAGAGAAATTTGATTTGAACACAACAGAAATATCTAAAGGTTTTGGATGACTATTGGGAAATGATTTCCGGACACTCGTGTTTATTTATTTTTCTTCACCTCCTTTGATTTCTTCAATCCGAAAAATGGTACATCAGAGTGTGCAGAAGGAAAAGGGCCATTTGAAATTCGCCTCCTTGATTCCATTTACTCTTAACACATTCTCCATAAGTCGAGAATGATTTTATATATTAATAGGCCTATCCAAAATTATTGCTTTTGGATTTTGTAATTAAAATGATATAGAAAATTCTTGGTCAATTTTCGTGGAAAATTGAATAATAGTAGAAAAAAGAAGTTGCTGTTGTGCATAGAACAAATATCAATTAAACTTCAAATTAATTGTCAATACACCATCAACTCCTCCGTCCCTAGAGGATGTCATTCTTCCAATCATGGCTTTTGAACTAGCATCTCCTTTGTGCTTTCTGCTTCTCCTTCTACTGCTGCCATTTTTCACCACAGCTCAAACTGATCAAACCAAAAATATCTCATTAGGATCAACCCTCACTGCACTGCACAATAAGTCTTTCTGGGCCTCACCATCCGGGGACTTTGCTTTCAGTTTCCGAGAAATTGGTAAACATGGCTTCTTACTGGCCATATGGTTTAACAAAATACCCGAAAGAACTATTGTCTGGTCAGCCAACGGTGATAATCTAGTCTCAAAAGGATCCGCAGTTGAACTCACTGCAGATGGCCGGTTTATGCTCAATGACGTTGCAACAGGCAAACAAATTTCGGTTGCTGATTTTGTTGGTACAGGAGTTTCCTACGCAGCCATGCTCGACACTGGAAATTTCATTTTGGCTAACCGAAATTCAACCATTTTGTGGCAGAGTTTTGATCAGCCAACCGACACAATCCTACCTTTGCAGATTCTAAATCAAAAGGGCATAATCATCGCACGCTACACGCCAACAAATTACTCGAAAGGAAGATTCCGCTTTGCGCTACAATCCAATGGACAACTCCTGCTTTACACAACACATTTCCCATTGGATTCTGCAAATACTACTATCTATTGGTCAACTGACACCAAGGATAGCTGTTTTCAGGTAATCTACAACATGTCTGGCTCTATTTACCTTACTGCAAGGAACAGAAGCATACTTCATATGATATCAAGCAACACCGTTTCGTTCCAAGATTTTTACCAGAGAGCAACTGTTGACTATGATGGAGTTTTGAGGCACTATGTCTATCCAAAAAGCACTGGCACAAGTGCTGCAGGGGGCAATCATGGCTTGGACTAGTTTGTCCTTCATATCGCCAAATATCTGCATAACAATTCTGCAAGAGAAAGGCGGCGGCGCGTGTGGCTACAACAGCATATGTAGACATGACCAAGGAATAATTTGACAATGTCCGCCTGGTTATAGCTTCATTGATCCAGATGATGTTTTGAAAGGATGCAAAAAGGACTTTGTTTCGCAAAGCTGTGATGCTGCGTCACCAGAGACGGATCAGTTTCATTTTCAAGAAATGCAAAACACGGATTGGCCTGAGTCTGAATACGAAAAGTATGAAGTTGTAACGGAGGATTGGTGACCGCACTGGCTTGCCTAGCTGATTGTTTCTGTGCTGTGGCCAATTTCAGAAATGGACAGTTTTGGCTTAAGGGAAGCCCTCTTTTGAACGGGAGAGTCGACCCCATCAATGGCGTAAAAGGTCTTGTCAAAATAAGGAAAGACAATTCGACCTTGAGGTCGGGTGACAGATACATGAAAAAGAAAGATAATTCAACTCTGATCATGGTTGGAACTGTGCTGCTGAGTAGCTCAGGATTTCTAAACCTCTTGTTATTGCTAACAACCTATTTTCTTGTTTCTCGCTTCTACTACGGAAAAGCAAAGGTGGGTCAGCCTCATCAAATCACGAATCTGAAAAATTTTACTCACAAAGAGCTAGAAGAGGCTACGAATGGATTCAAAGAAGAACTAGGCCGTGGTGCTTTTGCAACCGTCTTCAAGGGAGTATTGGGGTCTGATGAGGGGAAATGTGTTGCTGTCAAAAGATTAAACGTTATGATTGAAGAATTTGATTTGGAATTCAAGGTTGAGTTGAGCACAATCAGTAGAACAAATCACTGGGATTTAGTCGAGCTACTGGGATTCTGCAACGAGAGAGAGCACCAAATTCTTGTGTATGAGTTTATGAGCAACAACTCACTAGCAAGCTTTATCTTTGAAAAGTCGAGGCCAAACTGGAATCGAAGAAAGGAAATCGCCTTAGGAATCACGAGAGGGCTCTTGTATTTACGCGAGGAGTGCAGCACCCAAATCATACATTGCGACATTAAGCCTCAGAACATACTTCTAGATGACTGTTACACAGCAAGAATTTCCGACTTAGGATTGGCCAAACTTTTTAAAGTGAACCAGACTCAGACTACTACCAGAATGGTTCAAAAACATGCCTATCACAGCAAAGGTCGATTTTTACAGCTATGGCATTATGCTGCTAGAGATTATATGCTGCAGGAGGAACTTTGACAAGGAGGCAAAGGATGAAGATCAAATGGTTCTAGCGGATTGGGCGTGCAATTGCTACAAGAAAATCAAACTGCACCTGCTATTCCAGAATGATGATGAGGCAATGGGAGACATCAAGAATATGGAGAAGTACGTTATGATCGCAACGTGGTGCATTCAAGAGGATCCGTCACTGAGACCCACAACAAAGAAACTAACAATGATGCTCAAAGGAGCCAAGCAAGTCTCGGTTCCAACAGATCCATCCCCCATTACAAGTTCAAACCAGTCAATACTCTCAAGTAGTACATATTGACATAGCAATTTTATCCTGTATTTTCAATTGAATCAAATCAAAACACCATCAAACACTTTCATGGATAGAATCACAAAGCAGATCAATCAAGCAAAAGATCACATCTTGCTCAAACCAACAAAAGTATAAATAATTTAGAAAATTAATTCAGGTTGAATTAAGCAAGCAATTTAACAACCACATGGAGTGCATAAATGAAACCAAACTTCGATTAACCATAAATCTTCCAAGGTTTCGACTTTACATATCAATTTTCAGAACCCATTACAAATCATAAATATCCCACTACATTCTGCTGAAATTCAAAACCCTAAGATTTAGGA